TACTCTTTACTTATTATGTTTATTTATGTAATCTATTCCACTGTTATCACTGACCCATAAACTACCTTGATTGATTTAATAATTTCGTATATGTATATAAATATTACTGTATGTAATAGTCTGATGATGATTTTACTGAAAACAATATTGTTCGCTTATATATGTTGTTCTGATTCACAATATGGGAAGTTTTAAAATAATAAACAGTAACGAAAAAAATTTCACATTTTATTTTACAAGGAGCTTATCAAAGATAATAAAGTATGCCATTGCGTGGTATCGTGGCAGTAAATGATATGCGACTTAGTGAAATAATTCTAACAACGAAATCACAATACAGAACTGACAACGAAGACAGCTCCTTGAGCTGGACCAAACCATCCAGCTCAGAGAACAAAACTCCACCAAAATCATCCACCTGAGCTACAAATCTTCTCCACCATCTCAAAGACAGCTCCATAATGCAATCAATTTAAGTAATAAAACACATCTATGAACACTATGTCCGTCTGGTTGATTTTCGTTAACTATCAAAAATGATGAGTACTTATGGATTGATTACATTATCAATCGTTCGTTTATTTGATTTACAATACTTAAATTATGCAATCCTATTAAAAGCATTGAATGACAGATACTATGTTGGTGTGCTTCGATTTCAATAGACATTCATAATTGGTAAAAAGATGATAGGTTATTGCACTCATTTAACTGACCTACGTAGATTGTATTTGAATTTTTTACAAATCACATTTATATTCTTAAAAAATCATTAACATACTACTACTCTTTAGAAAACAGTTACACATAGTGTGACTTTGACGTTATATCAAGATATTACTCTTGGTGACACAAAATGCGAACTTAAAATAATGTGATCGAATACGCTATGTTATACTGGTTTTACTATTTTACATATTCTGGACAACATATATAACTGGATTAAGGAATGTATGAGAAATGAAGCTGAATTTCAAACAAAACTGGATTCTAATAATTACATGGGACCATTATTTTCAGTAAAACATATAATAAAAAAGACTGATTGGAAAATAAACTTTAAGAAAACGCATAGGAACTTTTAAGAACATACATTTTGAAATTACAGAGCTTTAGTCAAGCAAAAATCCCTTAGAAAATTTCAGTCAGTCAACCACAGTCAAACAACAATAATAATGTAGATTGTGACAAAAATGAATATTTGCTCAAATTACCTTATATTAGATCAATACACTAACGTTACACCCAATGATAAATTTTGATTTGGTTATTTGTCCTCTGAAGAAGTGACTTACATTGAGTCACGAAACGTCAGAAAATTTGATTTTCCTACTAGATGGGATATTACAAATATATGAATTTATTTATAAGAATCTACTCAATGCTTAGTTTATTCGAAATTATCAAGTCAAATCTTGGTATTGATACCTATTAAACCCAAAGATTATTAGGTTGATAAAATTATATTGATTCACAAATTACACATACGAGACAGGATAATCAGAAATACATTGAAAATAACTTTAAGTTTAGGGTAGCAAACTTGATGATTTACAAGACTTCTTTTATACAACAAAACACATGTTAATTATTCAGTGATCCGCTGTATGTTATTAAAATTGCAAATAGATAGATAACAAATAAAATATTGACTCTTCAGATAATGGTAATCAAGTTGACCTGTTTTACACAACAAATACTACAATAAACAGAATCTCAGTTCTTATGTAAAATCTATATTATTCATTGAATATTATTGAGAAGTGAACAAGTGATTAAAATCTAACATGAATGCATTACGCTAGTGTATTACACTTGAAAAAAGCAAATAATATTTATCTACATTATCAGAAGTATTAACCTGTTTACGGTACACTGCTTAGTTATACAATGAGAATTAGAACTGCATTTTAAACATTTATCCAGCACAATGTCAGATTTAGAATGCTCACTATAAAACTGATTTTTTAAGAATTACTAATCATTGATGAGGCTACTTGACAAACTGCTCCATCCACCAAATATTATTGGACTAGTCCATGTGATTTTGTATAGATAAAACAGTTAATCAGTTACAGAAACTGTATGATTTGAGACAGTTAGTCAGTCACTCATAATCAACGTAGAATCTGCCGAACATGCACATCAATCAAAGTTGATACACTATATTAACACTGTGAAAGGAATTTATCAAGATTAATATCAAATTAACAGTAGTGGAAATGCCAGTGGCAGTAAAAAAAGCGTTCGGCATAGACAATATGACTCAAGAATTAATGAGTTCGCATAATTAAAAAACCCGAAACAAACGCTGGTCATACTAAATCCCAACACTTAACATTTGTACAGCAATAAGAAATTAATAGGATCAAAATAATTAACTGCATATAATTAATGGTAACAGGTATGAAAACTAAACGTGAAGAGTAAATTCATTTTGTATTGTTTGGCTGAACCCTCCCACTGATGTTTAGGACTGCAATTGATCAGTTTCTTATTGGCATATGAGCATCATGTACGAATTGTCTCGATAATGCCTTGTCACAACCATTATGAGCAAAGATGGATGGTGACTAGTAGTGGATCCAATTAAACAATACAAAATGAATTAAAACTTCACCCCATTTAACAAGCTAGTGACTATCTGGACTCCCTAGCTAAGTGGGTAAGGTGATGGCGTCTGAAGCGTACGGTATCGGGTTCGAGTTCTGGAGTGAACATCAAATCCGGGATGCAAGTATACCCAACTGACGAGTCCCAAACAGCACGAAACACGTGTCCTTTATTTCACTGCTAGTCACCATCCATCTTCGCTTATGAAGAATAAACTTTTAACAGAACAGGTGAAATCAGTAACTGAACACACTAGCTACACTATTCCAACTGATTATGAGCCATATCATCTAAGGTCTTCACTCGTTGATTAACACAAACATAATAAACATAATTATCAGTAGCCATAGAGTGCTAAGCTTATAATCTTCAGCTATTGGTTGATAGCACAAAATGAAATAATAAGTGAGTTGAATTTTAAAATATTCAATGATCAGTGAATTTACATAGCTAAACTATCGTTATACAACAATTTTATTAACTAACAAAATATAAACAATAAAATGATGGAAGACTGGAATTAAATTAAATGTCATAGACATTAGATAAGGATTCGATAGCTTAAACAATAAGTACTAGAAAAAATCACTTTAGCCAGTCTATCCATTCTATTAAGAGAAACTGTACACACTAAATACTAAGTTTGATTCAAGAAAGAAAAATAATATACAATTTGCATGACATTTATTTTCTAACAAATAAACAAAATGACATATACATTTATTACTCTTTTCCCCTAAAGCAAATGTGTTTACTGTGAAAATGAAGATAGATATTCTGCACAATACGGTGTTCCAGCCGTATGAAAGTGAAACCGATTAGCTTTTCTGGGAAGGGTTTCCGTTTTTGAGGGTTCACAAACCCACCGAGTGTATACGATTTTATGGGAAGATTGTTACCCCCAGATCTTGGCGCATGGGTGTCACATCACGGGCAAGTAATGGTCTACGCGCACACTGGTAACACAAGTTTTTACGCATGCATCCTATAGAATACATATTGGTATTTTCAAACACCTGGGGGAGAGGGAGATAGCCAGCGCACCTTTTGAACGAATTTACTACAGCTGACTGTCACTTACGCATTACATGCATCTCACTGGTACAAAGACTTTCGCCCTTGAACTTCATGACATACAGTTAAACATAAACACTTTATGAGAAGGGTGATGGTCACCTCTCCCTAGTATTTGCTACCACATTTTTATTATATATTAGACTCAAAGGATTAGGCCACTGATTTTACTAGACATAGGGCAAACACTTTTCAGCTTACGTTCCTTGTGCTCACGCACGCACGCACCCATTGCATATACCTATATACATAAACCACACAAGCCGAATCATATACGTAAACATACACATCGAACATCCCGTAAGACTTTTAGAGCTCCGAACAAAGGAACTCAATTAACCCAGTTTACAGCAGAGTGGTGAATTAGTTCCATCTCCAACCACCCAGGTTAGCTAGCAAGGTTGCCCTACTGCCTAGCAGCGCCGCGGGGAGGCCTTAAGTCGGATTGTGTTGCCGATTTTTATCCATTGGCCCAGAAACACAAAGGTTATTCAGCATAATATTAACGATAGTAATAATAATAATAATAATAAAATAATCCAGTTAGATTGAACTTGATCACTGATAACCTCAGTAATAATAAGGAAGCTATACAAGATTAGCTTGATTGATATAGGCCTACATTTATAAAAATCTATAGATATTCGACTATATAACAAATATTGAAAGAAATAAACAGATTTTCTAGTTGCATTACGAGTAATGAATTGAGTTCATGCTGAATCGAATTCCACAACAAGACTAGAATACAAACAGAATAAAATAACTTGAAATTCAAAATTGTCTGAAGTAGGACTAACAACTTCAAATTATTCTTTGATGAGAGAAGTAAGATTTTCTACAAAGAACCAATGAATTTAAATACAAGAGTTCAGAATTTCCAAATATATTCATTACTACTATTTCAACTACTGCTACTGGACAGTTACCATTCATTTACATAAATAAACCAATTAAGTAAATAAACCAATATATATATATATATATATATATATATATATATATATAATTTCTATATTTAATTTACTCTTAAATGTATAAAGTACAAATGTAATAGTCAAAGTACCTGATCGTACTAACTTTTTCTCTTTTCAAACTAATCATTTATTTTTAGCTAGTAGTTATATCAATGCATATATAAAAGAGATATCGATGTGTGTATGTTAATCCTAGGAATGAAAATCCATTACATAGTTGTGTTTTGTTTTCTTCAAAAACATGCAAAATATCCATTTGTAGTATTGACTAACGCACACACACACACATGTACACGTAAATATAAACAAGCATATATACATGATATATACACATACCTCGAGGTTCAAAATGTCGTTGATGCAGAAATCGATGATTCAGGAAATTTTCTGTAAAATGTCACATCAGACAACAAGAATGTAACAAAATAAAAGTAAATATATAAATTAGCTAAAAATAAATTTTAAACAAAATTAATTTGATCACCATAATAATATGGATCATTTGAAAGGGTATTAAACGAAATACAATAAAGGAAAATAACTCCGCCTGGAGTCCCTCCGGAAGCTACTGCCGGTCCCAAGCCCGGATAAATGAGGAGGGTTGAGCATGGGGTTAGCGACCCCATCCCGTAGAAAACTAACTCGCTAAAACGCTAATAAAGGAAAGTAGAAGTGAATGAGTGTGAAACTGATTTTATGGTGTGATTATACTGTAAGAATGTCATTCAAATAAATAATCTTTTAAGAAATACATTTGGTTTTTCATCGATAATAATAATAATAATAGTGCAGTGAAAGTAGGGACAATCAAATGTACTTGACCACAAAATTACAGCACATCTTAGTAAAATCTGAGGACCATACAGTAAATACATAATTTGCAAAATATCAGTCAATCGTCTCAGACTTCATTGTTTCTGCATTTTCATACTAACTGCTTTATGTTCCCGTTCTTTCCTTCTGGACTTTCTGCTGCCAGACATTCTAATTCTGATTATCGTTACATACTACTCATGTCGATATAAATAGCACACGCCACAATAATAGTAATAATAGAAAAAACAATAAAACAATTCTTTGCACTTACGAAAATCAATTCTGTCCGATGGTTTACGAATAAGCATTTTTAATAGAAGATCCTGTAACGCTTTACTGGTTGTAACAGGTATTCTGTAAAACGAAAAGAAGTTTTGAAAAAAGGAACTCTGTAAACATTGTACTGATGAAGTTATTTTTAATCAAACTGATAACCTGAAACTTCTAATTCACTAATTAACTTTCAAAGTGTAAAATCTTCAAACTATATAAATACTTAAAATATACAGCAAGCAGAAGAGGATTCTGATATAATTGTTATCTAAGCTGGGAAGAATTTTTAACAACCACCCTATGAATGTGTGGTTTTCTCACTACAGTTAATAACCGCAGTATTATTCGTCAATTTATTTAAAATTAAAACACCCATATATTGAGATACATATATCTACCAAACTTTTGAAAGAACTCAAAATAACTAAGCATACGAAAAGAAATAACAACAAGTTGAAATCATGAGTCAATTGAAGCTAGACCACCATGAGAAACCTGGACGGCCGTTTCGTTAAAACTTTTACCGAGTACCTCTTCAATCAGGACATTTTTCATTAAAATTGAAAATTTTTGAAAATAATGTATTCTCAGAGCTGGATGTTTAATTGTGAAGCTTTCATTATTTGTCTAGACAATATATTGATAGGACATCCAAAATTTCTAAAGTCTAGGTATCTATTCTAAAAGTTTATTGTAATAAGAATATTTTCTAAGAAAAGTTTGATCTAGGACTGATGTGTTTGTAAGACATGAGAGCTTTCAAAAACACCTGTCTAACAATTTTCTAAGCTGATGTTTCATGAATCGATTAAAAAATGAGAAATCTCAAGACGAATGGTTCCTAAAATTAAGAAATTTTCCACGTAATTGGACTAGTACAAGTTGTTACAATTTGCAGCAGTACAGAAAAGGACTATTATTAGGAATGATGTCACAAATTGATTAATACATTTGAGGGGTATTAAATGAAATGTAAGTGATATTTATAATTGGTAAAGACTACAATAAAATAAATAATATGGGATTTTTCTCATTCTCATAAGATAACCAACTATTCACCTTAACACTAATTCTGAAACGACATTACAGATTTGAAGAATGTTAAAAATTTCACCAACTTAATTTACAAACATACTTATTGGAGGAAACCGTTGACAAGAATAGAAGAGATTGGATAACCAGATAAAAATGAATTGGAATCTGAAAGCTCTACACCGAGAACTGTATGAGCAATGAGTACGACTGCAGAAAAATGAGACCAGTTATTCGTTGAGGCCGTTATAAACAATATAGAGACCTGGATCAGACTGAGTTGCTACACTACATCCACTAATATAATCACAGCCAAGTAAAAGACCAGTTTGGTTTATTTTGATTTAATATTCCAGAGTCCCATCTAACGATCGAATGACTATGGATCCTAATATTTTAGACACCATATTACTCGAACCGACTCCCCTATGGTTATCAAAAAACAATGTTAGCTATTTTTTATAGACCAAGACGATGGGAATCCAAGACCAATTAGTTGGGATTACATCCAGTTCGTAAACTCTGGCTAGCACCTCAGTCACCTTAACAGCTAAAATTGAACTCCTGTTCCTAAAAACCACTGATGTACCTAGCAGGTGTGCCTGCTACTCCTTGTTTCAAGTAAGGTACAGCCCTTTCCAAACCTTTTAAGAGCTGGTGAAGTTAGGTCAATAACCCATTCATATAACATGAGAATAGAAGGTGAGCAAAAAGTAGTTTGGAGTCAGTTGAATTATTTCGTTGAGTTTTCGCCTCATTATTCCAATCTCCTGAACAGAGACAGATCAGTGCTTCATCTTTCTCTAAAACGGTCTTCCTAACAGCTGACTTCTCTAAACCAGTTTATTTGGTGATTCTGAACAGACGTCGCCACCGCTGCCCTTCCGATTTCTTTTGCTTTGGTTTGCGGTTACTTATCGTTCTTTGGACATCCGGGAATGAGTTTATGAGCACCTATTAATTAAGTAGAGGCTTTTAAGACCTGATGATCCCAGTCCTTTGGTTCAGATCGCTAATAGACGTTACTATTGTTGCTGTTAAAGACTGCGAATCATGCCAGATAGTCTTTGAATGAACACTACCTACATAGTCGAGTAAGTGCATAGTTAGTTCTGCCTTAAGAATACCCTTGACCTATTAGTCTTCGAACTATACTCGAAAAGATCTTCTTGTTTCATTATGTCTGAGCCCAATAAGGTGCAAACAAACACGAAATATGACTAGAGAGTATTTGGAGTCTGAACATCTGTTACGGAGAAGGAGCGAGTCTTCAACCAGACATGCTTAGTGATGACTGACAACAATATGATTTATTTGTGTCCATCGTTGTGACTTCGGTAGTCACGAGGTTAGGTGATGTCTTACCTTGTGCTCAAAAGATGATGGCTATTATCAAATTCACAGATATGTATTAGGTATACTAGTAGTAAATTACGTTGACTCTCCAAACCCTCTAGGTGACGTCAAATGAATTAAGACATTGTATGGGTGCTTCAGAGATGCAGCATCTATTGATAACACGAGATTCCTACTGCTGGAAATAACGCTCTCGTCGACTGAATTCTCGGGCATTGATCTCCTACCAGGAGGTCCACTTATCGGATTAGAATACGCAGATGACATAGTCCTGTTTGGTGAAAATGCCGTTAAAATGCAGTGTTTTGGTAGCACTGGGCAGCAATGCCAGGATGTTTGGGATGCGTTTCTCCCCCTCTGAATGCAAGTTGTTGCTGCAGGACTGGCCTGCATCAACACCTGGACTAAGGATAGGGAGTGAAGTAGTCGAACGTGCTGACAACTTCACTTATCTTGGAAATCTGATCAACCATAATGGGTTGGTGTCTGACGAATCTCAGCATGGATTCAGAAAGCTCGTTTGGCTTCTGCCAACTGACGTCACCTATGGCGAACGCGAAACATCAGTCTATCAATCAAGGGACGAGTATACTGCGCAGCATTTTGTTCTGTTCTACTTTACGGCTGCGAAACGTGGCCATGAAGAGTAGAAAATAGCCGTAAGTAACTAGTATTTGACCACAGATGCCTTAAAAATATTGCTGGCGTTTGCTGGGATCACCGGTTAAGTAATAGTGAGGTTAGACGCAGGGTATTAGGGGATGATGTTGAATCGGTTGATGGATTGTGAATCTTCATCGACTGAGATAGTTGGGCCACGTGTTACGTATGCCTGAACACCGATTACCACGACGTGCAATGCTGACTAGTGTTGGAGACGGTTGGAAGAAAGTGAGGGGTGGCCAAACCAAGATGTGTCATCAGTGCTTGAAGTCACTGACTTCTGGTCTTAGCCATGTTAGTAGATGGAGACTACTTGGTTGGGGTCCACGCGACTATCGTAACCAACGGTTGGTTCTTTCTACGAACTAATTCTTTTTTACAGTACTGTATCCTTACATAAAATCTTTCTTTATCACTATTGAGTTAACTACTTCTATGAATCCGGTGTTCATCTTGCTATGCTAATGAGGTGTGGCAACTTGGACCGATGCATATATGTACGTGGTCCTTCGTTGTAGCTGACTGACTGACTAAGCATTTCAATAGTGTTGAAAGAATGAAAGATCTAAAATTTAGTTCGGAGAAAGATTTAGGGAGGACTGGGATGAAATTTGGTCAAATAACATAGTAAACATTAGTATCATACGTGAACGTAGTCGAAGCTAGAGGATGACTGGTCATGGGAACAGAACAAATGGGATTCGATTGTGAAGATGGTCGCGAGGAGATTTGTTACTCCCCAATTCTCCACACCTTAGAAGGATATTTCTATTTGGAGGAAGATGTGTAATGGGCGCTTTTGACTAACTGAATGAACCAACAAAACTAGCTGGTTGCTCAAATACTTATAAATACAGTTTGGTGTGAGTCTGAAAGTCAGTTGCTCAAACTACTGAGTCACAAATTCATACGAAAGAGATAAAAGACATTAAATGCTGTCTAAAAGTCCTTAATGATAAGAGAAATAATTTATACATTAACATGCCTACATTCATGATGATTCCAAATATACCACACCATTTATTCATGTTTTCTATAATTAACGTATGATGAGGTGGGTAGATAGCCTTTAAACACGCTAAATAATACCACGAGTCTTACAAGGCAATAATACCATATTATTTACAGGATGAATAAACTTATTTCAATAACAACAAAATAGTAAAGTGTGTAAATAAAGTTTGTTCTACAATAATAATCACACACAAATAGACTTGCAAAAAACCACCTTTATTTTACGCATTAATCAATTTTTCTTAGAGCTTTAATAATTAGTAATGTAATTGATTTTTATCGCTCGGTCACGTGAATTAAATGACTACTAATTGTGAAGTATAAATAAGAACTCCTTTGAAGTACTAATTTTTGACGTACATGCTTAAAAAACGATCATATATATATATATAAAACAGTAGATATCAAACTGCAAGTTTTAAAGTTTTTATTTATTTCACCGGTACAGATGACAAAATATACTGTTGTAGAGATATGCAGTCAGTCTATTAAACCTCAAGAAACAAACTAACACCATTTACATACTTTCAAAAATCCACTCAGCATACAAACAAATCAAAGCTCTCAACCGTATGTCATGTTCTTCAAATTCGGGTATATAAATATTAATGGGTGATAGATTATAGGCTTTACGATAATTGTATTACCACATGAAGTGTCGACACAAAAACGTCGCAAACCTTTACGATACTATTCCATATATATATAAACTAGTATGAGTTTGATAAGGTTAGAAACATTCAACTTACGAAACACTTACAGACCCAATTCCTTTTGTGTCTTAAAGATAACTGATATCACTAATGCACGATTGCTATAGGTCTAAGATTCAGTGCAAACAACGGAATTTTATTGTGGCGGAAACTAGGTGTATATGTACGTGTTTGAATTTAGGTAGAGTTTTGTTCTATGAGCTGGATGATTTAGTCATGGAGCTTTCATTGTTCGTCTGAACAACATCAGCAGCACAAACTTTATGTAGAAGTGGAATGAAAAACACCACATCTGATAGAGTGGACGACCTCTTCATCTTCACCTGCACGAACACCAATTAGCAGTCAAACACCATGACATATCCTCACTTATATCAATCCATCTGGACAACTGTGGACATACATTCAACTGGAAAAATGTCGAAATCTTGGATGGAGGTAGTACTAAAAGCACCAGGGAATTTTTAGAAGCCTGACACTCAGATCAATCAGTAATCAACAAACACATCGAAATTGATCTAATCTACCAACCAATCAGAAAAATCATGGACAAATATAGGACTAATGATCAGATCAAAGGGAGATACAATCAAAATAAAGAGGCAGACAACGATAGGTTAAGGGGCAACAATAACCAACCGAGATAGAGGTAGACAGGACAAGCTGTGAGTCGTAAGTGGAGAAATCCGAACACTTCACTTCTACCTGACGTTAGTGATGATGATGATTTTCAGAAGAACAATGGAAGCTCTATGACCAAGCCATCCACCTAAATAATCCATATGCGCTGTTAAGTTCCTCTACCGTGTGCACGAAATAATCTACATAAAATAGGTACCAAGGGTATTGTCTAGAACGGTAATGAAAACTTTAATATTAAGCCATCTAGCTCAGAGACCACAGAATCATATAAAGTAAGCAACTTAACGACAATATAATAAATTTACAGAAGAACACTAAATAGTACTTACTTTGGTCTGAGACAAGCTGTTTTTTCATATATGTTTTTTAAAGCCTCTGGAGTATTGGCATAAAATGGAGCCTTACCAGTTAAGCACTGGTAAACAATAATGCCCATACTCCAAATATCTGCTACTGCATCATATTTACGACACATCAGTACTTCAGGAGCCTTATTTCAACAAAAAAGCAATAGAAGATAGTAAAGATTATTAAATGGAGAATTATTATTATTATTATTGAATAAATAAATTCGACTATGATTCATACTTGTACTTGGTATCGCTGAAAAAAACTACTATGATATGTTTAGTAGTACAATCAGTCAGTCAGCTACAACGTAGGACCAGGCACATATATGCATTGGTCCAAGTTGCCATACCTAATTAACACAGCAAGATGGACACCGGATTCATAAAAGTAGTTAATTCAGAGGTGGTAATATATAAAAGAAAGGATATAGAACATACATACATACATACATACATACATACATACATAGTACAATACATTCTGCAGAAAATACACGCGAATTCCCGTAAATATATTTCGAGAACTAATAAGACGCTTACTAGCATCTCACGTAGCCATATGCTCAAAGGGTGAATATCCTAACCAATGAATTACTTGGACAGAGTTTTGTAGGAGCAGGCAAGGATAGTAAGAAGTAGACTGATAAATAACATAGCGCATGATAGTCTAAAGTTTCATACACAACCGTAAACAAATGAAACAAAATACCTAATTGCATAAAAAGAAACAGTATATACATATTAATGCCCAGAGAGTGCTATTTGCAAACGATATCTAGTCAACAGTCAAGTATCACAGCCCTCACACATATCAAATGAGATCTGTGTGGTGCATATGTATTTGGTGTCTCCTTGTACCAATATCTATCTATGTCAAGAGGAAACTGACCATATACATAGGTGATCCACACATGGTTACTGCCATCATCCCATCTTGTAAAAATCTAGCGAAGCCAAAATCAGCTGAAATAAAAGGAAAAATCGTGAATAATAAATGATCGAGTTTATACAGTTGTAAAATTGTGTAAAAAGCATCTATATATAAAGGTACACCGATGACACTGAGTGGTAAAACCCGTAGCTTACTAATAAAGGCCTTAAAACATGAATGATGAAAACTCAAAAAAGTATGGAGTGGATATTACCCTGAATTCTGCAAGAACATTATGATGTCTTTGCGCACTCTTTATTTATTTGACAAACAGAGAGGTTAAGAAACATTTACAAAAAAGTTTCGAATCGATTGATATCACTGTTATGGATAAATAATTATATTTGTATGATACTGAAATGTTACAGCTAGATACATTAAACTAATGTAAAGTTTATTATCACTGTTTTGTGGTGAAAATATGAAAAAGGTAACCTTTTGAAATTTACAGTCATAAATATTTATGGCTAAAAGCTTTAAAAATCATCCTGCTGCCCTAGTTTGGTGGTAAATTAATACTCAGCATTTGGTTTAACTAACTCCTTTAACTATATATATATATATATATATATATATATATATATATATATATATATATATATATATATATATATCAAAATAGATATGGATTCTGATTATAACATTGGAAAAAAATCATTATTATTGGAATGAGTAGCTAAAGGCAAGAAATTCATTGAGGAAAAGAGTGAATATATGTGCAAAACCGAAGTGACTGTTTGATCGACTATTGAACAGACATACAATGAAAATGACAACAAACTTGGTAATTTATAAGTTATAAACTTTCCTAGCTTCTGCCATTAACCAATGCCGATCACTGGTCCTGGTTAAACATCTTACACATTTCCAATTAAGTTACATTACCAATGTAAGATATTCAAGTATACACTTTGAACAGACCGATTGAGGAAAATGAGAGTATAGGAGTTACTGATGTTTTGATAGCGTAAAAAGTGGTTAACTTAGATAATCAGATATCTTAATATTAGTTGCAGAAATTTATGCAAAGAAACTTAATCCTAGAACTCCATCGACAGATGTGACTAAGATATGTATATAAGGGTTTAAGGTTGCTGCTTAATCAGTGCAGAGAACACAATATATTACATACCGAAAAAAATATTTACAAGGAATTCATTGGGAACATGAATAACTTTGGAAAATAGATGAACACAATTAATAACCAAACGAGGTTCTTACCTAGCTTGAAGGACAGAAGATAACCAGGAATAGAAGTGACATGATGACCACAATCCCTACAGTGGCTCAACAAGATATTACCCGGTTTTAAGTCTCTGTGCATAAAACCTTTCCTATTCATAGCGTCCATAGCCGAGCCAATCTGTATTAGGAAGTGACGGATTGTATCCTCAGGCAAAGTGCGCTTGGCTAAGAAATTAAACAAGAGATATATGATTACCCTGTAAGTATTCGGAAAGATCACCACCATTGCAGTACTCCATTACCAAATAGACTCCACTGCTAGAGATCTAAGAAAGCAAAAGATTATTAAATATCAAAACATACACTGTGATCATATAGTCGGACAATATTGTCGTGGTTAAGGTCCTTAATTTAATGTAGGAGGTGACACATATAAACTCACTTTTAAGACACATATTTCCTTGCTAAGAAGCGTCTTCGACTTAAGGACATTTTGATCTTTCAACATGATTTTTATTGCCACAGGTTCCTCTGGATTCTAGGGGGGCGGATGCTAATAATAATTATACATCTTACATTTTTAACTCTCCCTTTATATACAATCGCGAATGCCCCATTACCTAGAACATCGGCTGGATTGTATTCATACGCTCCCAAGCTGATCATATTTTACAACGAAGTAATTTAGATGGTGAAATTTGAGATACGAAAATTAAGTAACGTGACTATGTTGGAAGTTTTTTGACTTCTAGTACGTTGATCTAATTGATAAACTTGAAAAACTGGTATATATCAAGTTTATTAATAAACATCACATGCCACTATTACGCCCTGAATTTTAGTAACCCTGTCAGAAGTCAGCTGATGACCGAAAACTTTGAAACTGGCTCTGCGTACAACATTCAATATAATTCAAATTGTTTATATGGTTGAGGATGGAATAAAAGAAGCTTTCGCTTAACGGGCTTCCCTATCAGGTAGCAGTGGATCTACGATGCCTAAAGGTAGGAACCTAGGTATATTAACGATAAAAAACAAAATGAAAAAAGTTGGTAAATCATAATAATACACTATCCTTAGTCCTTAAGAATATGTCACGTTTGCTCTTGAAGGACTCCTGGGCAGTCGCTTGCACTAGCTCAGACGTCAGCGACTCCCAATATTTCATTACTCTTTAAGTGTAGAAGGTGTGTCTACAGTCTGTTCTGCTGTGTTGTGATTAAGATCTTGCTAGAAGGTTTTAGCATCTGGTCGGTGGTCGGTGTTTAGTCTTAGGAGACTTTAATGCCAGAAAATTCTTTCGACCATAAACTGGCTGACGCGGTTATCACATTCGCTTTGGTGCATCATGTGTAGGCAGTGAATAGTTACGACCCGAACTCCGAGTCATTTCCACTAGATCTCATATTAACCAATTATGAGGAAGACGTCACAAACCTACATCATATCCCATCCCTAAGTAAAAGTGACCACGCAGTTTTAGTCTTTGACTTCCATATAGTTGTATCAGCAAATATGCAAGGTATTATGCACTCAGCATCCTCAGAAAACTGGAAAATAGAACCAGAGTCCCCCATTGAAACGGCTTCTGATTTATGCAGATATTTTTGCATAAAAGCCACTGCAACGCATATACCTTGAACTACATCAAAGGGTCCTAACAACTCTCCACCATGAATCATTAAAGAGATACTGAATAATCACTGTAAAGTAACAAGAATATGGGAGAGGTGGAGCACAGAACGAAGAAAGCCGACGGCCATTGCTTACGAAGATGGCGGATGTAATAATTCCCGCCTCATTCTGATTGGTTGCTAAGCTGAAGGGCACATTTACGAAATTGAGTTGCGTTTAATTGCAGCCGTTTTTTCTGACGAGATGAAATCTCATTATCGGGAAGCTTGAAATAATTATGCCTCAACCTTTCGCTTGTCAAGAAAGTTGTGTGAAGAAAAATTTGTCAGGTAGTCTACGGAATACTGTAGACGCTTATACTCGTACATAAACCAGAGGACTAAGGGAAGAGGGAATATCCCAGCATTATATGAAGACAATAGTTCTTCATCATTAGTAGAAGACGATCATGGTAAAGCTCAAATATTCTCAAATCACTCTATCAATCTACATGCTGTAGAGATGCCTTCTTTTTCAGTTTGTACACACATTGGACACTATGATCATCAAAGAACTCGATGTATTTGATTTGATAAACGAGCTAGATATAGGCAACTCAACGGACTCAATGAAAAGCATCCTAGGTTATTAGAAAACTAGCACATTGAATCGCGGATTCGCAAAGTATACATTTTATTATATCCGTAACCCAGGATCGATCTCCAAAAGAATGAAATGATGTTATAGAATGTTCTATCTTCCAAACAACCACTGGATGCAAATCTGAGAACTATCGACCCATAAGCCTAATCAGTATGGTTAAGATATGTTATTTTAGTGTTGTATTCGAATTGGGATTACCAATTATAGCGTGGCGTCGAGTTGAGGTTAACTATGAACACCGCTACAAAGAAACACGTGCCGAGCGAATCAGAAGGAGTAAGAAGCTCGTTCCAAATGACTCCATAAAATCCCCGAGAAGCCGAATACCAGAAGACAGTTAATGGACCAATTCGAGGTTTATTAGCTGGCGATCTCGTGGCATCGAAAGGATACCGAGATCGTGCCAGGATACAATCGTGGTTACAGAAGGTAACCGAATTCGCGCGAAGTTACAATCAAAGTGTAAGTAAGTGAATGGAAGCACAAAATAGCTGTCATTAGCACAGTCAAACAAAAGCACGTTAAAACAAACACTGGTACAGTTGGTTATAATAATAATTGTTTTTATTAAACCAGTCGTGTTCTCGTGATAAACGTGAGTCACTACAGTGTCTCGATGAAAATCGGATTCATTCTCAATAGCAGCAAGGCTTTGAAACAATTTATTGATGTTTCATTAATTTAGTAGCTCGTGAAAGATGTTATGCTCCTAATTATTGAAAGTTACCTATAGATGTAGCCTAAAATGACTTCAACAAGGCTTTTGACTCAATTCCTCAAGAACGAGCGTTATGCAAATTAAATCGCATTGGGATTGGAGGCAATTTATAAATGTGCATGGATGACTCAGAGTTGTCTAGTTAGATAAGTGCATTAGCGTGCAGTTTTGGAACATGTTTTATTCCTCCTGTATGTAAATGATACTCCCGTTACCATATCACCGTTGATTTTGGTAAATGTTGATGATATCAAGACACGGAGAGTGACAAACTATAAAGGTGATAGCTAAGGGCCTCATAATGAGCCGGAAAAATTGTCTTAATGGCAGTTGTCTATAAAGGTTTCCAAGTGTATTATGATGCATATTGGTCACCGTTGTGTCCTTGATCTGTCTGCCCACTTTTGTGCAGAGGATAACTTGTCTAATCTTGATTAAGACTTTGACGCGTTAGGCTGACTGGCTTACCCTTGATGCACGAGTTCAATGTGAGACCGATTGCTTAGGGTAGAGATACGAAAATTATCATATCATTTTGTTTGCTGACAAGCACGCGAATGAGAGAAGACAAGTAAACTGAAACACTACTCCATTTTTCCCCAATTCTGATCTGGTTCCCGATTTTAGATTAGTGTAAAAAGACACATGGCAGTGAATCATACATCAAACGAAGACTTATGCTCTGTAGAATAGACCAGGTACAAAAATAAATGTTAGTATTTTACAAGCTTTGAATTAAATGAAATAACGTCCCGAAAAATAGCTCCCGCAGTATGCTTAGGCTTCTTGTTTCTCTGTTCACGTCAGTCACCAAGGTGCAGATACATACACGGTGAATGAAATTGAGCTACCTTTTGTCCAGACATAAAGTGACCAAATATTCATTCTTAGTCAAGACCTTAAAACCACTGCACACTGCCTTGCAATAGCCGTCCAAGTTTTAAGAGACCTATGGACCTAGGACCGATATCCATTTCGATGTCAAAAGCTTTATGAAAGTTTTACCGTATCCTTACGCTCTAAACTTAAATACTGCAAACATGCGGCTAGCCCCTGTCTTAAAAGAGGCAGTAGGATGTAAGAAAAGCCTCAAAGAACAGCATCTAAGTTAATTTCCGGAATCTCAAGGCTTCTGTATGATGCTATACTTGCTAAAATAAACCTATTTCCATTGTTAGGTAGAGGAAACAGAGGCGATTTTATCACCTTCTTTAAATGAATTAGAGATAAATCTTCGCCTGAATTAGCAAGGACACTCTGAAAACATCCACAAGCCCAGAAAACTTACTTGTCAGCTGACTATCGGCTATACCATCGAATCATCATCGAGTGGCATTCATAACCTCAATATGTGTTTAAGATTCTATTTGTCAACATTCTCAAAAATAATTTGGATCAACTGGGAGACCACCATTGCCATGACAAACACAGGTTACTTAACACCCTGTGCTTTTCAAACTGAAATTGAAACCAATCAGAGAACATCAGTAATAATCAACTACAGCAGATAAAATTCGTGCATCGCAAAGCCGTTTCGGAATCTCGAAAGTAGAAGAGAAAGAGCAAAGAACACATAGCGTCGTAAATTGGAGGCAGACATTAAAATACGAGTTAAAAATGAAGACAACTAAAAAGGACTGTCTGGGAAAAAGTTGGCGTAAAAATACTGATCGACATCCCATGCTTCCACGAGAAATAACAGAAGTAAGCTTTTTCGTCAAACCATCCACTTATATCTAACACATTTATCTTGTAAGCCAGGTCAGTAGACGTTTAAGTGTTTGCTGGATATAATTCAGACTAAGGAAAACTTACAATCATCAATTAGTTCATACCACTAAGCTGGTATTCCTCCTGTTCATTTCTTTCCCATCCAAACAAGCCATTTTTATGGTAGGATTTCATTCGTTTGGTGTGGAAACCAAAGGAGCAAGATTACTTAGCTTCCTCAAAAGGGAAATCCAGGCTTGAGTAAGTATAGATTTGAATTTCATGTCAGATGAGAGCAATATTATGGTTTGTATGTTGTAGACTCACTAAATACAACATTAGCCAAATTTTATTCCTGAATATTTGCATTTTAGTACCCAGAGATCGTCTTTTCGATATAACGAGGTCTATCTATTATCATGTTCGAACCTAATCTTCAGTAAAATTATTTTTTCAATAGTGATGAAGTGATTGGGCTGTGACATCTAGGGTGAACTCCAAGAATTCTTTCGAAGTATTCAGTAGAAAGTGCGACTTCTTTTGCCACTAATAAGGGGTATCGCAAATTATTGATCCTAATTAAACAAAGGTCTTTGTTCCAGATATTTTTTATCGAATCCAAGATTTGTTTTTTTTCAAGTGATTTTATATTGAAACACAGGGATTTACTAATATGAAAAGGGTTAGGAATGACATGATACATCAACATCATGTCCCGAGAAACTTTTGTTCTACAGAGATTGTAAACTTAAGGCCTCCGAAGCTGTGGAGTGTAGTTTATTCTTAAGTCAGAATATCTTTATGGCTACACCATTTTAAATGAACAGTATTCTTTCAAACGTCAGAAGAAACACTAAGAATACTTTCTCTAATGAATTTTCATGTGAATTCTGAATGCGGTTTCGAAGAGTTCGGGAGGGCAAACTTACGTTCCTAGAAGTGAACCAGAAACAATATGCTTTATTGTCCTCAAGATATTTTAAACTGAAAACCCTCTAGTAGGATATTGAGATGCCTTAGTTTTCTTCTGTGATGAAATGTCTGAAACTAACGTCCACAACTTGCACTCTTAATTTAGTCATATAATAGTAGGGAGGGCTTCAGATGTTCAAACCCCACGTTTTCTCCAAAAAAGATGTCAGAGGATTGTTGTAACCATCTCCATTAACGAATTATAACATTTAGTACACGGTAAGTCGCTGGCAAAGTAATAAAACATGTGTGATTCACGGATCAAACTGTCTAGAAATTCACTGGTCATTGTTTATTAATCGAACAGAGTAAAGAGAACATTACTAACCTGTGATGTTCCAATTATGTAGCCGAAAAACAACCTAGAGATATCTGTTTATATTTGCGGATCATAGTTTCGGTGATAAACACCACCAAGTAACTTTCATAAGTCAGGACGGAGCGTCTGTCCCCGCTGATTTATATAGCAATGAGGGGCCATTTCAAGTGTATTGTATGTTTGTACTATAAGGTCTGTCAGGAAGGAAAATTGCGTTGAATTTCAGATATCGTCGACCTTGATTAGAAATTTGTGAAACGACAAATTATTCCATTCTATTTGATACTAGAACCTTTATTACCTTGAACATCCTATATTGTGGTGCGGATGAGCTATCAGTTGATAAATACGCACGTAGTAGACTTAAGTCAGGGAGGCAATCTGGCTAGATCAACATGTGACCAACAATGGTGTGTGTATTGACTAACAGACTGGAAGAGTATCTTCAACAAAATTACACCTACGACATCTACTATGGGAAGATATCATTACACCTGAGATCCTCAGCTCTTCTAAATGGAATAAAGTTAAAATTCTTCCATGAAATTATCTCAGCAGTCGCATAATATTCATTTTTTCCATTGTCACCAAATAACAAACCGTCCAGCCGTTTCGAAATATCTGGAAATGGTCTATTGAGCAATCAATAAAATCTTTAAAGACATATCAGAACAAAACACTGAATCTGAGTGGATTTGTCCAATATACCTGTGAGCAGCATGTGAAACACTTGTCAAATGGTTTGAGAATTTCACCCCCTGTACTACCTATTTATCTAGGCAATAGAACATATGCTTAGGTCTAGCATCGTACTCTTCAGTAGAAACGTAGGCGTAGTAGTAAAGCCTATGTCTGAAACGGACATAGATCTACCTTTCAGCACCGTTCAAATTGAAGCATTTCTTAACTTCGTATAAATTTCTTCAGATGTTCACGTACAACACTGGTCGTTTTTATGTGTACGTGATTGTTCACCAATAAGAGATTAAATACATATCTTTAGACTACATTTTCTTGTTGAGCCTCGTTCGATGAAACTAGGTAGGATACGAAGCCTTTCTTCATGTTACACCTCGAACCGGGTGTCTGAGAAAATTTTTCTGACTCAATTCATATTTGGCTTTGATCACTACTGTTGCACAACGGAGTCAGCCTAAGCGTAATATATGAAATTAAATAGGGTTTATATTTTATGGTTCAGTCATCGTATGTCATAAGTCAGTGTAGTCCCAAAAAGTAAACGGAACACTGAGAATTCATTACTTTCTCGGTAACGAACAAAAAAACAGATCAAAGACACGTAGTTCTTAAGTTTACATACTTTGTAAATTACATGTTACCTCAGTAAATATATCTATTTCACACTTAGTACTATCCGTGCTAGTGACAAACTAAAACAGTGCCTCAATACTTCACAAGTGCATAGAGTCAGAAACACTGTGGTCAAAAATATAAAGCGAGGTACATTAGAGGTAAAACCATTCAAATTAAAGCTTGAGTTGTGCCTTCAGCCACATCATTTGATGACTAATGGGATCACATTTTACGTTCGCGGGAATACGAACTATGAGTTAAAAAGCCACAAGAAAATCGGCACAGGATTGGAATATGGAAAAAGTTTTAGTCAGCTCACAAATAGCTGCCAGGGAAAGTTCCCCATAAAAGTACACTTTTATTTACGTTTGAAAAGAGCAAATTCATAGATTTCAAGTAAACTACCAATATTTCAATCTTAGGATTCTTAAGGGGAATGCTGGTAAAAAAACCACAAGTATTCAGAGTTTGACAACGCCCACACACGTAACATCTTTACACACAAAGTATGCCAACCCATTCATGTCAGAAGAGAAGAGGTTGAGAGACATATTTGGACGGTTATCGGTATCTCGGGAGGCGTTTGATCCAAGCTCAGTCAGTCAGCTACAACGTAGGACCGGGCACATATATGTATCGGTCCAAGTAATCATACCTCATTAGCACACCAAGATGAACACCGAATTCATAGTGGTTAATTCAATGGTGGTAATATAAAGAAGAAGGATTGCATATAAAGATATAGTAAAGAAATAATTAGTTGGTCCAAGCTAGCCAACGAATGTAGGAGATATGTAGCACGGCGTTCCCACTCATGATCTGGTGCTGATGAGTGACCAAGCACCTCCAACTAGATGTGTCCATTAAAACTGAGGTCAGAATCAAATGTCGAAGACTTACAGAACTATACGACAAAACTACATCAAATCAATTAGGTTTGCCTTGTCTAAGTGATCTATTAAACTATTGTCTATTATTACACTAATCCCTGTAATTTATAACAAAGTATATGTACATTGAACAAAACCATATTACTAATTATAATGAAGAGAAATATCTCACATTCCTTGAAACATAACAAGTTATAAAGGCGAACTATTGAGACTACTTGAAGACAGAATATAACGAAACAATATTACATCAAATATAATTTAAATTCTGAAATATATAGAAAGCCATTCGTTTTATTTAAGAATTCTGAAAGAATACATGGCCACACAGAATTCAACTTACACAAACTAATCTCAGAATAAACTTAGTAATACCAAAGTTAGGTATATATAAATGTCACAAGATCAATTGGACACATCATTAAGTTCAGAGTTAGACTTTGATGTGATTTCTCCAGACGAGCATTCAAAGTGTTCTAGTCTACGTTTACGAACTTCCGTAAATTCCGAGTCTTCTAGATACAAAAATACAAATTAAGAGGAAAAAAGGATGAAATGCAGGTGAAATAAAATATTGGTCCAGTTGGTTTATCATGTTTTAATGTAACGCCAATGACTTATGATGTACCACAATGTCCTTCAATGAACGTGAAACTTAAATTGTTAAATATAATGGCGGAAATTTGGAACTACTGAGTTCAATCTTTGACCATATAGTAAATACAAACTGAAATTTATAGAACCAAACCATGCAAGTACCGATACTTTAAAGATAGATAAATCGTTCAGCAAAAACCTCAGATTTGGGTATCAGAAGAGCTAATCGAAAATTCATATTCTTTGTCATTAAAAGCCGTTATTTTCCAGGTGAATTTGAGATCCGCTTTTAACTATGCAGTTAAAATAAAGAAATATTTTCAATAATAAAACTACCACGATCAACATAAAACACAAGATTAGAGAACTTACCCCCAAGATTTAACACATCATAGCTACTCTAGTTAACCCAAGCTCGTTAACACCCTAATAGTTCCAATTCAAGCTTCTGATAGAAGAATACCGGTGATAAAATATCTGTACTCATTTTCGTCATTTACTTCTAAATTCCATACCTTACAGTCATTTTGAAAAATAAAGTAGTAGATTGTGTGACTGTAGTTTTTTCCTGATGATTGTTCAAATGAAGCAAATCGATGCCTTTATATTCCTACTAGAAACAGAAATATCTCCCAGAAACCATAACGGGATTAATTTAGATTAGATTTCCAATGAACGGTTTTTCATTATTCTTAAAAAAGACATAGAGACTCAATTTCGAGATTACGAAATTCACTTTTAGAGGCTTATTCTTAAGTAAACACTGAACAACAATTCCCCTCTATTTCTTCATGTCTGAAATTGAGAGGAAGACATAAAACTCATTTTACATAATCTTAACTATGATTGAAACCTACTTGACGTTTTCGTACAAATTATTTTTCAGTTTTAACTAAGCGGTAAATTAATTTGTAACTATTCTCTTTATGTTGTAACGAAGAGGTTATCTAATCCTAAAGACTAATCAGTCCTGGTGGTTTATGCCTTAGTGTTACATTCACAGTTTCAGTCATTTATTGTGAAAGCTGTTTACTTTCTTGTTGTTTTCTAAGATAACTTCGTAAAACATTTTTCCGGAAAAGTTTTTTTAGAACTGAAACAGATCATTTTCCATTCATCATATGTAAGAAGAACAAGTAAATAGTTTTAACTCAACTACATATTTAATCATCATGAAGGCATCTGAGGAATGGAAAGGAATGAGAACAAATTTCTCTTCCATAGATTGAATATCAAGATGCCAAGGCTGTTCCATTAAAAAAAATCAAAACTAGAATAAGAAGTTTACTTACCTGATGCAAGGGGACTCTTACCATCCGAGTCTAACCTGAAATAGAATGAAATGTTAGTTGAAAAACACATAAATAGCGATCATGTAGATTTGCTATCATAAAATAGTGAGAACCAGAAATATTAGATCACCAACTAAATGGCAGCTACAATGAGGAACTAACACTGACAGTTGTTATTGACACCTTAGAGATTTCGTTTTTTGAACCAGAATCTTTGCCTCATGTGAGCAGATTGATTTTGTATCTAGACAGTCTTTAGTGTAAGAATTAAACTATAAGAAAACCTCGGACCATGAGACGAAATACAGAACTTATTTGAAAATAATCTGTCTACTGACTAGTCAGATGATAGGTAAACACATGTAGTCCAGATATTAGAAACAACCGACATAATGATGATTTTAAATGACCACTGAGTCACCTGGTATTAAATCGGAAACATTATGGGAACTAATATGTATAAATATTATTCGTCACAAAATAAAAACCAAATAAGTTTACTGGGATGATCTTAAGGTGAATGCTACAGAACACACATGTACTTGGGTTTCCATGGAACTCAACAAAAAATAACTAAAATAAAGTAATATTTAATAAATATTCATAAAAATACGAATATATCACTGAATATATCCAACGGTATTAACAAATCACGTAATTTCTTACAACAAAATCCAGTAATCAGATATTTACATTAAAGTTCACAAAAATTAGGCTCCAAATTGAAACTAATCACTTAAGACAGTTTATTATCTCTAATATGTATTCATCAGGGAATATGTAAATAAACAGCTGAACCAACTCACGTGAGCTAACTTTAGAAAAAAAGTAGGTAACCGCTTAGGTTGCATGACCAGAAAACCATCATGATTGGGTAACTCTCATGATTAAAAGTTCAAATTTCATAAAATATGTTCTAATTAAACGAAATGTATGACTTTCGGGACATGACACGCAAGAATGAGAAAACATGAAAACTGTTTGCATTGAAGTGTTGCGCACTCCATCACGTATATACAAACTAACAAAGCAATAAGTCAAGGTTGTCATAGACTGGAAAAAAATATATATTAAATAACCACCAGAACTCACACAAACACCAGACATACATATTTCTTCACCCTTCTAGACTTCAATAAAAGGATATAACCAACACTACAGGGGTGTTACACTGTGAAGATGCAAATTACAATGCCATTCATCAATTTAGATTTGAGTAATTTGCTTATCATTGGAGAGTAAGGCGATATTATTATCATGAGCAATGTCAAAATCTTCTTTTGAATAACAGGTTTACATCAAAACCGTGCACTACCTTGAGGAAATCATTGATGACAAAACTGAAGAAAAAATGACCATAACAGAGAAGCCCACTTAGGGGAATTCTAGTATTTACCCAGCTGTTCCTAGCACCAGGCAACTACATACTCCCTCTAACTTAGCATTAACACTTGATCCACATAAGGGAAGTGAACATAATTTCCATTGTACAGTCACCACATCATATGTTCGTGGACTGAACATGCAATCAGTCATAACTCAACATATAAATAGAACACCAGAATAGTACATCAATAAGTATATTCAACAATACATTTTAAAAGTTAGTGTAGTCCACAAATGGGTAGCATTTTGCAAACTTTGGTTATCGAGTGTTCAGATCCCAAAACAATCTTAAAGTTACTAGCGTGTAGTTTAATTTCCATAATTTTGAATTAGTATCACCTTTTCACCAAAAAATATCCACGTTATGTGCTGTACATTCTTGCTACTATCAAATACACTTTTTCCTTACTGGTTTGCAAACATTTAATTAGCAATGCTTCCACACTATAAACAAAGCTGTTTATTAGCCGGATAGAGATTGGACTAAAGCATGTTACATGCAGGATTGTGTTGGACAAAGCTGATTCACCACTTCTCAGCCAATTAGCGGATACTCATACTTGAAGACACTAGAATCTTCTTGCGTAAAATTATGGATATACGAACGTTTTGCTTATCGTGATTCTTAATCCCATTCAATCTTGTTTATTTAAGATATAATTACGTTCCTGTTCGACCGTGTTCTGATTTGAGGACTAGTCGAGTGGAGTCACGTGTCTGAGTGCTAAACAATAGGAGTAGCTGGGTCACAATAAAAGAGATTATAACAGCGTTGTAGCTGTTTACTTGAATGACCTTTGGAAAATCAAACAAATCTCACCACGAGTTGGATTTTTGTGAGGATTAACTAGGACTGAGGAAAAGATTAAGTCCTTTCCGTTCGTCCTTCATTGTAGTCCGTGATACGATTTCTCGACCATGTCCCCAGGATCCATTGGGTTTATGAAACATTTAAATCTTTCAAAGATCCTGTCGAAAATACTTCTTGTATTAGGGTGACCGGCTAGAAGTGAGAAGACTATATACAAAAGCGGTTACATGACCAACCACCCCAATATGGGTACTTTCATCTCACAACATAATGACTGACGGTTTTGACAGTTTTTCACGGCAAACGAACAACTTCTAAGAACTTGTGTAACAAGAGCAAATAATATACTGTCAATCAACAAATAACCAGAATATCACTAGGGATTTTCGAAAAACATAATGTATTGAATAACTGGCAAAACAGTTTCTAATGTGAGATGAAACCATCAGTTTCCACGTCAATTAACAAAGCGAAATGCTTCAAGTTGAACAAATCACTAAGGAGGACTGAATATCTAGCACTGTTAGTTATTCAAATTCAGGAAGACACATGGATGGGACCAACTAGAAATGAAACCACCTAATAATACATAGACTGGATTTTACATACAGAGCATAGAAATAGAAAGAGTGACTTAATTTTCAGTGAACAATATCTGTATCAGTCGTAGCCTGTAATAAAACAGAATGAAAATATTTTAGAAGTCTATTCAAAAACTAGTTCAACGGGACTATACAAAAAAAGTAAACATAGATTTACTTTGAAAATTGCTTCAGTACATGAAAACGTGTTGGGACCAAAAGTCAGACGGCTTTGGTAATCGGGAGATATAGTAATCATGCAAACGGAAATAGTTAAGGTGAATCAGAAAACTGCTTACTGAGAATTTACATCACTATTTGAGGCTCCCTTTCCTTCATTATTTGATCCCACATCGTCGGTGTTGAGGACAGTGTTAATAGAAGTCATAGGTTCTAATTCACTTGGAGGAGTGCTAGCCGCATTGAGGTAAGCATTCATTTGCAGGACAGCTGCATTCAACAGTACATTTATTTGACGTAAAGCGGTGAAACGGGCTTCAGCACTGGCACGAAGACGAGCTTCATCAGTTGATTCAGGTGGTCCAGAGGGCGGTTCTGGCATAGGAGTATTTCCACTAGAGAACAAGTTACCTAAGCAGAGTATGACACAATGGTTACATTAATGAGAATTGGTAGGTAGGAAAATGAGCAAAGCCTAGTTTACAGAATACTATAAAGTTACACAGCGTAGTCATAGGCTAAGTAACATTTGAAATAAAAACATCCCGTGAACTAATTTAAACTATATCTTTCGTTTAAGACGATCAATGATCATTCTTGGCTTTCTAAATTACTTTTTTAAAAGTCAGAGAACAATCAATCACAGTCAAGATTTTACTATCCTAACAGTCAATAAGTTCGTAAAATCACATAACAGGCAGACAATCAGATAACACCCTTCTTACTTAAAAGGTCAAAAATACAAAATAGGGGATATATACTTTACTGCTTCGAATTAATCGTCCATGAATGTACAGTGTCGATGACAGATACCCAAGATAGAATATGCTTCTACAGAAAGTTGAGATATCTAAATGAAAACAGGTAATTTAAATCTTCATGTGAATGAAATTAGCAAATACTAATAAAAGTTGTCTCGAAAACCAAATGGAGCTGAGTCTATCAGTTACTTTTTTCATATTTTGTTTTAAATATGTCTGATTATAAACACAGGATCCCGATTGTGCAAGATACATTGACAATATACTTTGAAAGTTGGATAGTTCAAAATTACAAGCAGAATGCATTAAGATATTTATTACACACATTACAGTCCACTTTAGCTGTTCTAACATCAAATAGTATGAATGTAAAAATAAAGTAAAAACTGAGCTTGCGAGATCGATATCGAATTAAAATGATATACAACATTCAAACTGTGTGGTTATAAACAGAATGTCCCGTTAAAACAGTGTAATAGACAATCCACATAACTTACCAGGGTATATTATAGGCATCCCCATAAAGGGTGGTATGTATAAAGGAGGCACAGACGGAAAGACTGTCTGAGCTTGTGTAGTTGTTGAATTATTAGTAGGAGGAATAAATGGTGGATAAAACGGGAATGCATTTGCAGGAGGCTAAATAACAAACAAAATATTGAACAACAGTAACAATATGTGATAACACGAACAATTACTTAATCGATTGGAGAGCAACTGGTCGCCTGTAACATGTAATTACATCCTAAGTGACTATATAACTTGGCCAATTAATTATATTTATTGATTGTAAATACTTAATTGCATGATATTGTAAATGTGTTCACACAGTAAGATATTCACCGGTTGATGTTAAATACTGAACAGCTAAAATTATATGAAACTGACTGTATATAAATTATATAAAAATCAGTGTATTCGCGTATCTCCAGTGTCAAATAAATCCATATCAGAAGTCCTTGTGCTTTCACTAAACGTCGTTGGATTCGGGGTTTTCAGTACTAGACACAAGTCATCTAAGAATTTCCGCGGATATAACAATGTTATGTTGAAAACGAAAGCATAACTAGGTAAACGTAACCATGTGCCACCTCCCCAGACAATACCAATTTCAACTATTCTGTAAATGAAAAACAGGTGTCAAAAGATATTAAGAAATCTTTTTAATCCCTGATTAAAGAATAGAAGCTTAGATATTTATCGAAATTAAGCAGGGAGGTATTTATAAATTAATCACCCCAGCCTCGATTCTCTCCCAGAAACTCATCCAGTTGAATAAAATGTGAATCTACATTTCTAATGACTTACATATATTCTGCCTTACCTCACTAAAAGCCCCAATTATTTTCACAAATTCCAAAATATTATTCCAGAATATCCTCTCTAAATGAACCGACCCTAGATCTTAATCACTATGCAACAAATTTACTTTTAAATAGGACAGCCCAATAACAGACTTCGTTTTTATTAGTTCCTGTGTCAAGCAAATATAGCTTTCATGCTCCCATGGTCTCATATCAAACGCTAGTGAACAGTATAATACTAATTGGTCAGCAAATAGGGAAAAGAAATAGTTGATAATTAGCACAAAATTCCGTGGCTTAAAGCAGACTAAGAAGTCCTAAATTTAGGGGGACCGAAACCGAGAAGCTAGATAAAAATTTGTGTGCTCCACTTTGAGTCACATTGCATGCAAACATTGGAATAACTATACGTCTGCGCAAAACAAGTTCAGTAACGTTTGAACCTGTGGCCCGACGGCCCTAAACCAAATCCCATACCTATTAAGTTATTGGTCCACTTAAAGTAAAGCGAATTAATCTTAAGCATTTTATTGTTCCTATATTACTATTATTATCATTATGTTTTTTAGTTAGAATTGTTCGCAAAGAATGGGTGACTTGTCACCACAAGTCTGAAGGTCAACTGGTGAAGCTTACCATCCATGGCACTGATAAGTTTTGATTATTAGCTGCAATAGATGGTGTCGCAGTTGAATTAGATGGACCAGAAGTTGTTGAGCTTTCTGGTTGTGTATTATTGGTAGTTGCTGAACGATGAGGTTGTTGTCGCTGTCTTTCTTGCACTCTAGCTTCACGTATGACATCCATTCGACAGGTTGGACAAGTCTGTTGACGTTGAAACCACGAACGTAGACAACCAAAATGGAAAATGTGAGAACAAGGTAACCTTTTAAGAGCTGAAGTCCCAACCGATGGTATATTATCTGTCTGAAGATTCATTTCTTCACGACAGATTATGCAAACAGTATCTGAGGAGGAAGCCAAATCATCTGGAGTGGCATCGCGGAAAACTGTGTTCATGTATCGAATGGCACGACGTGACATCAACATATCCTTTACATAAAGGAATAATCAAAGGATCCCAAGTTATATTATACTTACAGTAATCACACATAAAACTGATGATAGGTGATAATGTAAATGAATGTAAAACCTTATGTCTCTTAAATAAGAGCTAATTACGCAAACGGTATTATACAACGAATGAGCACCATATTTACTGTCAGGTAAACGTCAGACGAAAACCTTTCTTGGTGTATAATTTTCATAGGGAGGAATACGGATGAGCTTGTAACTCCATAATTATTATGAACATAGTAGCTTTGATGAACTACTGTTACAATTGTCATAACAGAAAAGGGTTAAGAAAATTGAAACGTATCTCACCAATAGCTAGTCTGTAAATAAAAGCTAACACCCACGATTGTTAAATGCCCAAGGATATATTACCACAACTGAACAAACTACTTCTGTGAATTTGGTGTTCATCTTGTTGTGCTAACGAGGTATGGTATCTTGAACCGATGTACATGTGTCTGGTCCTACATTGTAGCTGACTGACTGACTGACAAGAATACACTGATATAATTGGTAAGAATTATTTTGAGTGGGGAAAATATTTTACAACAAACTAACTTTAAAGAAAGAAATTTTAGTTTAGTTCCCATGGTTTCGGCAGCAATTCAAGTGCATATTCCAAAAAACTGCAACTCTTCCATAACTCAGAAGCATATGAGAACCAATCAAATCTGTTTTTGTAAATCCCATTGAGATTAGTTTTCACTTAGATTATGCACTGTCAGTGTCGTATATAAGGTTAAGGGCAAAGAAGTTTTTCATTACTTTAGGTAACAGTCAGATGTACAGGAAAAAACTCATTTCGATTATTTATCAAGAACACGTTTATGAACACGGCTTGCAGCTAAACTTTGAGTGAGGGGTGGGTTGGGCGGAATTTAAACCTTAGATCTACTGGAAGAAAGATGGTTTCCTTGATCACTAAGCACCGGAATAAAACAAGATTGACGAACAAATATTGATAACGTTTGATGAAGGTATAGATTTCATTAACAGATCTAAATCTTGGTTATTGAGTTAACATTTACCTTAGAAACACAAACAAAATATTCAACGAGCTGTCAACTTGAACCGATGCATATACATGGCAGGTTCTACGTTGTGAATAACTATAAACTGACTTACATAATCTTACTAGTTTACGGAAAATCGAGTGGGCAGTGCTCATGAGCTTACTGATATGAGTATAGAACAAACCAAAAAATACATATGTTCCCCAGCTGAGATGATTCGTTTTCGTTTGTACACTTTTAGATGTTCATCACATTAGGTTTGTCTGATTTTGGTATGTCATTTGGTCTTCTTGTGCGGAAAATATTAGCTGATGAGAAAATTACGTATGTTTCACACTTGCAAATGTTATTTATCACCAGTCAGTCACGACGTAGAACCTGTACGCATGTACATTGGTTCAAGTTGCCACACTCCTTTAGCACAGAAAGATGAAGTTGTCAGGCCAAATCCCAAAATAGTGACAGTCTTCTATCGAGCCCCTTCAGCGATAACTAATGACAATGTGACCTACTGCAGTCTATTGATAAGTCAATTACGGAGGCTACCACGTGAGACGATGTCTCTCCCTGTTTTTGAAGTTTGTGTTTGCCAAAAATAGATGGTTATCTGAGCATAGTTGCAACAGACGGTTGGCATTATCTGTTCGCTGAGCCGCAACACCTTAAGATCCGCCTAAGTACCTTTCGGTTCGGTTTAGTTTACCTAATTGAGCCCTGAAATCACTTGCTACTATCACTACATTAAGGCTTTTGTTTTTTGAATGAAGTTGGATAGCTTCCTATAAAGTTTATCTTCAACTTCATCAGAGCTGCAATCAATGGAAGCGTAGGCAGAGACAACAAACAAGCAAAGGCGTGTATCCCTATTTTTTCGAGTTCTTACTGTCTCGTTTAGCTGGACAGTGCACAAGCGAATATCTATTGGAATCCTGTCTAGGAGATCCTTTTCTACTTTAGAACTCAATGTTGTATATGCACCAGCGAGGCCTCGGAAAAAATGGCAGTGAGGTCTTCAGGTACTCGGAGGGTAAATCGTGCTATTTGTTCACACTGATAAAGTGAGATCAAATGAATGACTGTACTTGTATCCTGTATAGGAGATTCGGAGACGTAGAAAGCATCAAAAGAGTGAGATACTAGAGTCCTAGCTAAAGAAGACTGTTTCCCTATCTGACACAAGGTTCGAACACTTAAATCTCCAACGTTTACTTTAGAGAGTGGTTTTAGGAGACCAGCAATAACATTTTGTGAACCCAAATAGTTAGCATTGGTGGCGCATGATGATAAAGATAAACGAGGTCGGAAGAATTAAGGGGTTCGATCATCAATAAGATGATCTCGGATGCTGATAGAAGTATGAAGGCGGTTGTCCACACTGCTGGAGGATATTTCTTCTTGAGAGGACTGAAAAAAGTTAAATTAGTGGTGTTCTTAGCGACCTGAAAGCGTGACGCGTAGCCCGAGAGACAACTGCTTGTGGCTGGTCGTGCATAGCCTTTTTAGAAACTTTTCGGTGTTAGATCCCCACTTAAAAATGCCTTACTGCTAGATACGGAAATCCATGGGGTAAAATAAGATGTGACAGCCCCTTTCATAATGAGAAGGCAGCATCGCTGCAGATGCTGGTTGTCTGATGGAAACACGTTACTGGTGTCACACTCCTCTACAGTCAGCAGTACGACTTCACCCTCTGACCTTAAGTTTCTACTTTTAGTCATACCGCTCTCCAACCGACCTGCCTGTCATGGTAGGACCTAAAGAAACATGTGTTCCAGCCAATATAGATTGGATAAGTCCACGATAGGCAAGCTCGACTAACATGTTAAGGTAGTAGCTACGGTCGGGTTATTTATCACCAATTTCATTTCCAAGTGAAATGAATTCTTCATGTTTTGGGTGTCTGGACTGTGACTTTTATCAGACTGCGTTATTAATATTGGGTAAGTAATAGTATTCGAACAACAGTTAGTAAAAAAATCCCAAAAAACTAATGATAGTATTATTTCAGAGTCGACAAAAGGATCCCCAACAACAAATTATGATGATATCTTTGTAATATTTATGTACGAATGTTCTTAAATTTGCAATAACAGATTGAGCGTATGGATCTAAATGTTTAACTTATTTTTTAACATTTATGCCTTAATATATTGTAAGTGGGTTTTTCGCTTGTATACTGATAAATCTAACGCAAGCAAACAAAGATGCAAGATCTTTATTGAAGGTTAAGAAGAATAGTGTTCAGCGACAGAATGTACATGTTTTGAATCACGAGGTGAAACTGACCAGAACATAAAGACAATTCATATACGATTGTGTTAGTCATACATGTAAGAATGTATAACCAAGATCACGAATACTACGAAATCTTTACAGTCAAAAACTTACTCGAATCGCCTTTTTTAGTGATCTGATGCTAAGATAGATAGGTCGCGCGATAAATAAAGGAAACGGATGCAGTGACCACATGATGAACGTAAACTCAACGTACACAGCCAAACGAATAAATCCAATGAGAATATCCACATATAAGAGATACGTAGCTTTCTTATTCCAGGAATGTTCTCGCATAGAGTCAATCGAATGTAAAATATAACGTACAGTAGTCGATAGAAGACTCAATATTAAAATGAAATACTGAAAATATTTAAAAACAAATAATCTAGTGTTAAATTAAACCTATTTAAACAAGTCCCTTGCATGAAGTACATAAAAACACTTAGAATATAATAATAGAGAATGGATTTTCTAAGTAATACATCCTTATTGCTTGCCTATAATGACAGCTGCACTATGTCGTCAGCAAACAGTGAGTGGAGACAACAGCCCAATCAATCTACGTCGAACTTAAGAATATGGAAAACGCGGTACTATGCTGGATATTATGGTTAAAGGGAAGATAGAAAACTTCATAACAAAATATTTTAGCCGTCTACATCGTGTGTAATATACATGCTGTCGAAATAATATCTAACTCACTGATAGAACTTTACCTAATCGTGAATTAATTTAAATCATTCAGTTTGTAAAAACATGGAATAGTTTAAGTGAATATGGAACTATCATAAGAGTAACAAGATGTTTGGGATTTTTAAAAAAGTGAGAAGTGAATCTCCAGCATTGTGATTAACGGTGAGTTATATGATGCACGATTCGTAATCAGTGATCATCAACATTTAGAGGGCTCCAGACATGTCAACACTGTACCATGGTGCAAACGTAGTCGACAGTATGGAAATCTTAATGACTTATTTAACCTTGAGTGAAAAATGACGTCATAAATTACGAGAAAATAACTTCAAAACACCTAGAACTACTCATTTTTAAAAATATTGGTAATAATATATTCGGGAAACGACAGTTTGCATGACAGTATGCAGGTACGATTAGGTTGATATGCATTCCATAATAGTCTTTTACCAATACAAAACTGACATTACATAGTGCCTCAAGTTAGCTGGTAATTGACAGTTAGATTTTGCCAATTCAATTAGTTCCAAACTGTTTGACGGTCTAAATAATCAATGTACAGTTGTTTCTTCAAAAATGTCTGATCTACGTTTTGAGTACTGGAACATTATCTCTAGACTCCTACATAAACATTTAATAGATTAGTTAGTTTCTACTTTATAAAAACAACAATAGTCTTCATTTTAATCTTCTTTGAGAAGCAATCAATCATTAAAAATCCCTTGTAGACTTATTCGGGGGAAATATTCGGTTAGGACGTACCACTAAGATGATACTTTAGATGGAATATATTGTTTCCGTTCGAAAAAAAAACTAGCAATAGTTACCATACTGCTTAACAATGTTTAGATAATTAACAAAATTAAAACCCTGGAATCAATGAGCGTGCAAGACTATAGGTGTTTAACAGTCTAGAATGTCAGGCAGATGCAACTATAACAGCGGCCCACTTTGAGCTCTCAATCGGCAGTTGCAGATTTTATAGATCAGACCACAAAGAAAACATTTTCTCACAACCCATAAATTCATAGGTAGGTTTGACTGAATTCTGACAACAATGCTTCCTACGTCTTATACCTGTCCCGCTAACTAACGTAAGTTACGGTAGACGGAGACGTGGCAAGTACCAAAAAACAACAATTATTTCGCACAACTAATCCGTTTGATATATCAGATGACCATTGGTACATACCCAGTATGACAGTGAAACTTAATACACACAGAACCTGCTCACCTATTCAGCCAAAGTGTACAATTATAGATAAATGTAAGGTATGAACAAAGTTAATAATATTCAAACCTCTATCCCCAAAGCCAAATGTACGGATATTCCGTGTGTAGCTGGCTTCCAGTATGCTGTTTTGATGAAATATACGTCCACCAGAGTTAGAAGAGTAATAAGCACTGGAAAATAAATTGTTAAAATATAAACCTACTCATTGTTCGAAGATGAAACACAACACTAATGACAGGCGATCTTTCCATCTAAAAACCGATAAGAATTATTAATAGACTTTACATAATCGACCCTTTCTTCAATAAGCCAGTGAAACGCTCTGACAAATAAAAGTATAGCGAACAAGAACAGAAATTCGACTCCCAATTCGTTCTGGAAGAAGGCAAAAACCAAGCACATGTCGAAGAAAGCATACCATGACTGTGAAACAAGATTCTAAAGACGGGTGATTAATCACTAGTAAAACTTACATCTACTTCTGCTCTTTGAAGCCGACCGAAGAAAGCATATGTGAGTGCTTTTACGACCAAGAAGAGTAAAACAACACATTGAAAGAGGAGGATCTAATGGACGTTTAAGACATTTTAAAAGAGCTTACAGAAAGGGATGGCTGATTATTGGTTAAGTACACAACAGTAGGGTAAAACTGTTTTTTGCGGTAATAAGTGTTCGTTACGACGATGGATGAAACAATCAAACTTGCTGATGCAAGAATAGCGTACCTCATCCTCAAGGTCGTTACACGTAGCACGACCTTGAGAAAATTCAAAAAATAGTTTGGATCTGAGCAGTAGTGTTATAAGCAATATATCAAGAAACTCTTAAAGTATGTCTTCCATCATGCTCGTGTAGAACATAGCAATAAGTACCATTGTGAACGGATTCTAAATTTTAGTGGAATTTACCATTAATTTAAATAAGACTTAATAATTTGTCCGTCAAATTTTGACAAGTCTTCAGTAGTAAGGATGGGAGATTAGTCGACCTATACGGGTCCTTTTAATTCGTAACAATGTAAAGATTAAATCCCGCTCTAAATTTACCAACGGAAGGCCCCGATATTACATCTTTTGTATAGCATTCCAGTAATCTACCACTTGATGAAAGAAACGGAACTCCAGACGTAAATGATTCCATCTGCCTCTTTTAATTACCTTAGAATGTGCTCTCCGATGGTCGGTCATGAATAAAATGAAATGATAAGACATGTCAACACCAAAACTATCTTTCAGTTAGACCGAAGAATTATTTCATCACTTTTATCCCTAGCCGCTTGGCTCACTCTAGTGTATCGTTTTCTTACTTGAAACTATGGCTCTCTGCTTCAATCCCAACGTTGGGTTTAGTACTTTAAACAATTCTTCGTTCAAGTAGTCAACTGACTTACGAATAACCCATAAGGCCACGAGACCTTCGGTAGCAGTAGCCTTACGATTACTACCAGGTCTAAAGTGATTGCTTTTTATGACTCCTAGATCTTTGTGTTTTCTTAATTCAGGTAATAGAATTTCGCTTATTGCGTAGTGACATGAATAGTCGCAGATATGTATTTACATCACTAAATTCATGTCGAAATTGACTTCTAATGACCTTTCATACATCCAATCAACCAGTGAATTTATTTCATTGCTAACATTATTCTATTTGACGTATTGTATAAGAGTCCCTAAATCTTGATATAATCTGCAAACAATATAAGAGATTACTCTGCCACAGTTTGTAAGTCATTCACATGAAGTAAAAGTCGAATGAGACAGAGGATTAAACTGTTGTGTGGCGTTGAGTCATGGTTGACTATGATCACCACTACAGGAAGACTACGTGCCAGTTAACCGATAAGATCCCCAATATGCCAAATATGAGAAGACAGTCGATGGCTGTAGTCGAGATGTATTTGTTGGCGATCTCGTGGTATCGAAAGGATACCGAGATTGTGCCAGGTTACAAGTGTGGGTACTGAGCGTAAACGAATTCGTGCAAGGTCACAAGCAACGGAAGAATGTATGTTCTTGGCAAAGTTAAACAAACAAGTACAGTAAAACAATCACAGGTACAATTGATTATAATAATAATCGTTTCTATTAAACCAATCGTGTTCTGTTGATAAAAGTTATTCACGACAAGACCCTGCGGAAACTTGCTTTTTACAGGTTTCCATGTACATAAAGAGCTGTTTAACCATACTAATTGTCTCTTTATGCTATATACGCAAAAGCTTTGTTCAATTCACTTGTGAGAATAGTTCAAAAGTCACAAACACAATGCGATAAGCAGAGTAGAACCTGAAGTTACGTCTTTGTTGATAGATTCTTTAGAAGCTACCGAGATGGTTGCTCTTATGGTTTTCATGTAGTTCCCTCCCGACCTATATCACTCAGTGCTTTGTTGGCAGTGATGAGGTCTGCTTTTCATCCCATATCATAAAGAGACAACATTTCGATCTAATGGAGATGAGCCCGATTCGCCCCTCATTTCTCAGTTTCGAAACCTATTTCTTTCCGTATTTCCGTACAAATTTCAAACAGCCACATTTCAATAGAATGAATGCAAATTTTGAGTTTGCAAACGTTGATAGATTCAGGATGTTTGGTGTCAAGGAAGGTCTAGAAATCAAAGGACCTTACCGTCAGCAAAAATCCCAAGGTTTTGCCCTAGTTTATGTGACTGGATACCGCAAGTGTTCAGCATTTTTTTCTTCCGCATATTAAACATCTATCATATGCTCATTAAAAAGTTATCATTACTCAATATGTGGTGTAACATCAATTTCCTGTGCTCTATTCTGAATATGTTAACCAGTTTCTCCAAGTATGTGTTTTTTGCGGCAATAACCAATCATATACCATGTAAAATGTCATCGATAGACGAACCCATCAATAATAAAGTGAAACGCCCACCACCACATCAACTCCCTTTGACCTTGTGCGACTATATGTCCTTATGGGTTCATTGTAAAAGAATATTCGCTTTGTTGACTCATTTTTCCGATTCCCTGGCCACTGTTCGGTATGTTATTTGTCTCTGTTTTTCCCTGTATTAATAGACTGTACTGTTTGCTTGTACACTAACAATGTTAATTTATATTTTAGAAATAGATAAAGTTTGTCCACCCAAATAGCTTGCTTGTTCTGAATTTGAACAAGACAAGACTCTGTATTCGACGGTCTAGGGAATAGCTCAGAATTATACCTGTAAGAAATCGCTTCCTATATCCCTTTTCATTTAAAGTGAATAGTTGTTTTACCTTTTTACTTCAAAATTCACCACAACTTTTGTTCGCGTAAGATTCGCAAAAGCTACCACGTCTTATGTTTTGGTAAATGTTAAAGTTTACCCACCTCCACCATTTTTCAGTACTTCACAAATGTTTAATCCTGTTGTTTCACAAACCTCAGACTTTCTGTCAAGATTAATCTTTTATAAATATTTAACACTGATACGCACTGGTGTGAACCGTAGCTGGTGTAAATTGACGTCTGCGATACACCACAGGTGCAATGACAGACGTTCGCCATCTCGCACAGTTGGGCGTTCTTTTGAGGAGTAACATTGGCCATCTCTAAGATTCGGTCTTTAATTGACAGTTGGAAAATCGACCACCACGTACGGTGAATTTAGACTTGTTTAACGTGAATTTTCTCAAACACACTCACCGCATTTTCGTTGGTGCTTTTTATGTTTTTATGTCAACCGTTGGTTTAGAACTATCGTGACGTAAAACTCCACCATCGACTCAAGCTTACGGAAGTTAGTGGAAGAAAATTATTTACAAAAATATCGCATTTCTCTGGACATTCAAAAAAGTTGGGTTGGAAACGACTTTTCGGATTTATTCAAACACATCGCTGATCTCAAATTGATCGGTGCTCTGAAAATAAAGTGGCATACATTCTGGTTTACCCAGAACCAACCACAATCAATTACGTGTGTTAAACAACTTAGTGAGTTTTTATCAACGATTCATGACGCATTGATCGTCTTTGATGTGACCTTTAACCGAGGAACATCGTGAAAATGTGAAGCTCATCGATTTGGATGACGACGCGAGGAACATATTCTCCAATGTTAAAGAGCCGACCGACAAAGGAAAATCGCTCGCACACTGAAACATGGAAGCATCCATTGGTATCACAATAGACGCATCCGAATCAATAATCGAAGGAACCTTAATCAATAGGTAAACAACACTTGACAACCTTCGGCATTATTATCATGATGATTGCAAGACACTGAATCGAGGTTTAGAGCTTTCTTCATGTAACTTCTAGCCATGTTCGCTCTTATACTGTACTAAACCAATGACGTTCGAACGGTCTGATCGGCCTAGCGTCCTATTGATCCGTTGCTCGCCTAGCCCGTCCAGCTGAGTCCAAAATGCCAACAACAGCCTACCCTACGAGAATCGAATCATACCGAACAGACAGACCGCAACGCAGCATAAAATAAGAAATACCTTTTGTACAAAATATAGCCAAAAGTGGCTGTGAGCGTGGGAGGCAGTAGTCAATAAATTGAACAAAGCTTAAGAACAGTAAACCGTACAATAATTATATATAGGTCAAATAAAGCTTATAACAAGGGGAATATAGATACACATAATCTAGGGACTGAATATTTATACCATAAGAATATATAAATAATATTAGACTTTTTTTTAAAATATGGCAAGTATAATGTTAACATTATTGAAAATTGTGCATTATTGCATTTTTTGAAGAAACCCGAAATGGTTTCTTCACAAAATTTATGTACCCATAAGATGCTTGTGAATAATAATAATAGGTCTCAGACGATACTCGTAATGTAATCTTCACTGTGATATAACACGTTGAAGGCCAAGAATTCACTCTTCAGCGGTCACGAACCTCCCAGCCTTTGTCTAAGCTCGTCTCTGAACAAGCATTCCCCTCGAGAGTATCAACAATTAAACGACATTTCGCAATCGAATTCAGATATACAACACATTCCGGGGGCGAAACGTGAAGTAGCAGACTCTTTATCTCGTATAACTTCCTCAGACAATTTCCAAAAGATCAAAATTCTCTAGCTCTCCCAGCCTAAAAAAGAAGACACTTATCTTCAGCACGAGTTATCTCCAACAACACTGAAACTCTGAACCAAACAGGTGTGAACAGGTAAGGAAACATTACTATGTAACACATCTTCAAGCACGAATTATCCAATAGTGCCGAAATATTATCGGCACAATGTCTTCAATACGTTGCACAGGCCTTCTTATCCAGGTGTTCATGCGATCATCAAACTCATAGCAGAATAATTTTGCTGGCTTCGGGTGAATAGAGACATGAGGAAGTGCACATACTCACGTGTGGGCGGCCAGAAATCTAAGTTGATAAGACACATCGAATGTCCTATAGACTCATTCATAAAACCCGAACCTCTTTTCAACCATGTTCATCCGAATTTCGTAGGTTATTTACCAGACTGAAATGTGTAATCTTATCTCGTAACTTACGTAGACCCTCCATTCGACGACCAAGAGCCACCAATGATATTACGGATGAATTGGTGACCCACGCCTTCGTCGAAAGACGAGTAGCAAACTCCGATCTCCCTTCAACTCTTACTACGAACCGTGGACACCAGTTCGCATTTAAACTTTGCTCTTATTTAACTACACCATTAGGAACCGCACGATCACCTATTACCGACAAGCGAACTGGTTGGTGGAACGCTTTCACCGACAGCCTAAGGCTTTATTCTCAGTTGCAAGCGTCTCATAGTGCATGGACACTCTCCCACTCGCATTATTGTATACTTACAATGAGGCGCAATCCTGGTTATGTATTTTGGTGTACGGCACTGCCAACAGTCGATAGATCAAGAATATACTCTATTCGTCGATCACTTATCTCTTCACCTTCCTTATAACCGGTCTTGACACAAGCAGTCTTCCAGAGTATCGGTAACTGGACTACATCTTATAATCTGCTTTAAGTATGTGACGGCAAACAATGCAGTCGCGGATGGGTTTTCCCGTCAGAGATAGCCTTTGTTGAGATGTCGTGAGGCCCGAAACTATCACTAGTAAACGTACCTGTTAAAATCGTGCGGCAGTTTATTCACTTCTTCGAAGAACCATGCACACATATGTGACACCACATTCGGTGTTGCAGAACTGGGCTTCGATATTATCAGTTCAGAGTAACATAGGATGAAAAATGCTACCTATGTTTTATTCTGAAACAGTTTGGGTGTCTTTAGCGTCATTTTGGAGGTGAGATGTATAAATGGTCGAAGAATTCTTAGTACGCACAAATAGTATCATAATATGCCCAAAGAAAATATATCTTACGTCACCACAAGGAACAGAGTCCGTTTTTCGGCAAACCAGATCACACCAATCTCATTGCTAAAAATGTAACGGATATTCAGGATTTAACACATCACCCATAATACTTTTATGATCGAAGGCTACCAACCTAGTCAAGTCAGAAGTCAGGAATGGATGAGTTCGAAATTATATTTGGAAAGTTGAAACATGTTAATAAGCGTTTGGTCTAAGGTCATCTAATAGTTATGATTGATGAGTAGTACAACGCACTCACTCGTGATTCTATAAGAATGAGTAACCGAGCACCTTAAGATAGGGTGCGTTTAGTAAAACTAGTGAAGTCACCACCAATGTTAAACTTACAAAAATAGTTATTTCGGGGAATTATTTACCACAACAAATGGAAGGGAATGGAGTGAAAATCTAAATAATCTATCATATGAGAAACTTAAACAAATTTGGCCTTCAGTGTTAACAAAAGGTTTTGTATGAAGAATCATTCACGGCTTCTGTATAAACGTTTTGTCATTTCCTCACGGTTTGACAATTCCATACATTTATTTACAAGTATGTCAGTCTGGTTAACCTATTTTTGGAGCACAAAACCGACGTAACCAGAGTTTATAATGTATATAATCCTAACATAGCAGCCACACACCATGTTTACACATATGAACAACGAATTGCAACATAGGTTTACAGATAATATACTACTGTTTCAGTTACTAAATAAATACAGTCAGTCAAAATATGTGATAGAACATTCATATAGATATACCAATAAGTTAACAAGTGGGTTTGTTTTAGTACTGTACTATGAGTCTACTACTGTTACATTCTGTTTAGAAATGGCACCTCGTACAAGCTGCGACGTTGACGAACCCACAATTCCCTAACCTGCACAATTGAGCTTTACAATCGTGGTGCTAAAAGAGATAAAAAGAAAAAAACGAGCGTGAGAATAAACACCAGGAACACTGGTTGACAAAACTTGGCTGTTTGAAAAGGAAGAGAATAAAATATATGAATTAGCAGGTAGGATTCAAACTAATTATTGACACAAATAGTGTCCATGAGTCAACTAACTGGTAAGTAGCTGATAACGGAATCGTGATATGGACTAGTTGGTACCATCCATACTGCGTTTTGGATCTGAGCAATCCATTAAATAGGTCTGAAGCCTCAGTAGGGTTTTTTTGAAGCAAAAGCTAGTTAAAACTAGGTCATTTGAAAGTTGAGTACTTAGTCTTGTAGGTGTGTACTGAATATTTCTCGGGGAACGCTAGCCTGTGAGTCATTATCACTGACAATAAATTATCCCTATTGCATTCATGAGCCAGAAGATATATCCACCACCACCTACTATTATTGCTAATGACACAATTCAGTAAGTTGCTTTTCTCTTGTGCGAAAAACTGATCACTTTTAGTGGAAAATGCCTATATCTACAAATATTTTCGTGATAGATCTGTTTATTAAAACCAGGTCTTCACTTAATATCACGGGAAAAATTAGTTTGACTTCTACTAGATGGACTGAATGATGGGCACTCACCATAGCCTTTGAAGAAGGCTGAAACTCAGAATAAATCATCGTGAACTAAAACTGATGGTCAAGCTTTAGAGCAGTGTAAAATAAAGTGCTTACCGGAACGACGTCTAACAAATTCAGGTCCTACGATATCTTAGTCAGTCACTGTGTTCATATTTTGTTGTAAAAGAATGCTTGAATTGATCTAGATAAACAGTTAGCTGGTGTTGTGTGGTTACACAACACAGACGTGATAAAGTGAAGACGCTCAACGACGTTTTATCCTGCATCTTTTCCTGCCATACAAGAAGGCCAGTGAATCTAAATGCCACGAAATACACCGTAAGATAAGAAAGGAGGGTTTGTGATAAGGTTAAACCCCAGGACCTGGAAATATCAAAACGAAACTACCGCAGACAAAAACTTCAAGTTTGATAATTAATTTCCAGAGCCGTTTCTCGGTGATTTTGAGGAGTTAAACTGAACAAATAAATGTTTGGATATTATCCTTTGGTAATGCAAAACAAACTGGATGTGCCCTGGTTTTAGCTCAATTATGAAAGTCAGTTAAAATAGATTGGGTGACTTAGCTTAAACAGAATATAAGTTCGACACGAAATTGAAAATCGCACAAACTTTCGATATCTAATTCGTCCGAGGGCACCGGTTCTCTCGAGATTACAGGTAACCCTTGCTGACGAAAGCTAAGTAGCTTGAAATCCAGGTCCGGGGCTTCCTGTCGTCTACCTCCTACATCTCGACATAGTACAGGCGACGTCGACTATTGACCAGATTACAACGTGATTGATATAATCCAATCTGCACTAAGAAGGACCCCACACACTTGATATTGGTCACTACCCAGTGATCAATCAGTTGTAAGTCGAAGTATCCCAACCAAAGTCTGACTTCATAACAGTATTTATTTCAGTGTTCAGCATAACGTCTGAAAGCTAAAATGTATCTTACAAAAATGCATGTTCTGAAGGCTGCTACACTTCCTCGACTCTTAGTGAACGTTAAAACTACATAATAGCAAAACGTCATACGATTTTGTGTAACCACAATGGCAGTGTAGTAGTAATGTAACCAAATTGGAACAGATCCATTCTCAACATAAAAACACGACCCTCCATCAGCATTCACGAGACGACCATCACCACTACCTTCATTTATACTAGTCCGTACCATGTAAATCTCTAAGGGATTGGTCAATAGGGTGCTAAGATGTTTGTGGCACATTTATCAGGCTAAAAAACCCAGTTTATCTATCTTCTTTTTGGCCCTTGAGATATTATTAGGTTAAATCGGCAATATACTCTTATGAGATCGGCTTATGAGATGGTTACTTTTTGCGAAGTATTGGTAAAGTAATTGTCTGGAGTAACCGAACTATTAAGGACTTTAAATTGAGCACAATGTCGAACGTCGTTGTTTTCCCGGAATATATGCAGTAGTGGGGTAGGAGGGCTATTGGAGGGTAGTGTAATACCCTATTTCAACATATTGTCAAATTCTTTAGGATTGAGAGGTCAAAAGAAATTGAAAACAGACGTCTTTCAATTCAAAAATGGTGTACAAACTTGTCCCAGATTTTCTAGTTGAAAAGTTGGTTGTAACAGACTAATAAACTGCTTCAATAGGTCGACAAACGTACCAGTGTGGTGTTATGGTTTACAGGTGAATAGAGGTTTTCATGGATATGGTCCTCTCAAAGTCGACGTTGTGATTAGTGCATACCAGAATGCGGTTCCTGGAGACGTCCTCTAGATTGCTGAACTGTTAGAAATCAGTGTCAATTATTGGTAAGACATCATCTATGAGAAGTACCGTGCTACTCTTGAAGTTTATTATCATCTGTCGACTGACACAGGTTCATCTGAGAGAAACTGGTGACTTAGTGTAACATTAGGGTCTAGTCTTTGTTTGTCCAGTGTGGTAGATGGCGCTTGAATATGTCCATCGGGATGCGCCCAGCTTTTCTATCTGTAACGAACACGAGACGAATGTCTTGACGGTTGTAGCCGACAACCGAAGCCGTCAATTATTGTCGGCCAAAATATTCCCCTGGCACTCAAAGTTAAAATAAATTGGCTTTGTTCACCGTCTAGCACTGCTACTGGATCTAAGTCTTAAGACTCGACAAGGTGTCCATTGCAGTCGTGGGTGCTATCTGCCCCGTTAATGTATTTACCGTCTACCTGTGATCTGTAAGTTGAGCTCTGATCAAACCATCCAGCAGGTAAGCCACTGAATGCCGAAAAGTTTAGTGAGCTATCCTAAGGTCGAACAACGCGTAATAATCGTAACACGCCATGGATTGACCTATGCAGCAGTGGTTGCACTATTTCCCCAACCTATTATTACTAATACACTTCTCTAATAATGTCATGCCAGTACAATACGGTATCTTGAAATGATAATTTACGTCCAGTATTAACCGCGGGATGTGATCTTGATGTAAGCCAGGTCAATCAACATGAGTAGACCAAGACCATCCACATAGATCGCCTACATTGATGATTAATATGCTTTATGAATTTCTTGACAACAATCGGTCAAAATATTGTAATGATTTTATGCCAAAAACAGAAATATATGTTTTATTTATTACCATGAGTGAAGAGCTACGAATCTTACCTTGTCACGTATTAACGAGGCATCCTAGAAATTATACCGAGTACTATAACAAATGCAAGTTTTATAATGATAAAAAAGTTAACAAGCGAATAATACTATCTAAGAAATGGAGAAAACACTAACATATGATACACTAAGAACTTATTTTTGGTACAGTTTCGACCACCAGTAGTTGACAGCTTTATTTGTCGAATTGCACAATACTTCCAATCCTCTTTGATTTTCAATAGTTAATCCGAAAAACATACTGGGTAAATTCTTTGCATCCCGTTCACGTTTCACAGCAGCAGAGTAAGTTGACACACAATTGAGGATAGCTAAATCGATTCTACCTAACAATGCCAAATCTTCTTCAGGTTTTCGATTAGGTTCCCACACAACACGTTTTACCTAATAATCATTTAAAAAAATGGAGTCAAATTTATAATCAAGTACTGATTGTCCAGAAACACTGAAAACAACAAAATATTAAACAAATTTTTTTCAGATACAAGCCGAAAAACGATTGATAATCAGTAGGAGGTACATACATGGAAGTGTAAAGGAATTTTCAATTACCAATAGGTTGACTTCATTTACCACATTTGATTTTTATTTAGGACAAACTTTAAGGAACTCAAGACTACAAGTGCTGCAACTATGATTCAATTACATTCAAACTGTTAAGAGAATTTGAAACAAATAATCCAGGTCCATGAGTAAGCCGCAATCAAGACTTATATTGTAGTAAAAACGAATCGAAAACACGCATAGACAACTGTAAAAACGAACTTCGTATTACTAGTTACCGTGTTTTTACTTCTAAAACACTCCAAGATACTTGTGGGGTTTCTACATAAATCGTGTAAACGTTGGATTTCGATAGTTTAAGTCAAGAGTAAATTGCTGAAGTATATTGTGCTCATATTGTAGTGAGCAGAACACGGGTGGATACAATCGAATGTAATTAACACAAAATTACAGAGCATCTCAATAAAATCTGAGAACCATATATCAAATAGTTAATTTGCAAAATGTCCACCAATTGTTTCAAAATGCCTCAGACTTCATTCTCCTTGCATTTTCATACAAATTGCATTCTATTCCCGCTCTGGCTTTCTTGATCTTTCCCCATCTTCTGCTGCCAGACATTACATTCCACACTGGCGTCATATACTACTTATATCAATATAAGTAGCACGCACCACAATATGACAGGTTATTTGCGATAAACAGAAATTTAGGGTTCATTCTACAAAGTCCAAAGTCTGCACCTCTAGACAGACTCCTTGACTAAAATCTTCTATCTGTTAGTACAGATGTCGAGATCAAATCCCAATAACGTTATCGTTTACTGTTTCAGTCGACTTACAGAATGTGCGGATATTCTCAATTTGAAACCAAAGACTGCTAATAGACGCCTGTGGTCAGTCGGTAATTTGAAATGTTTACTGTGTAAATAGAGTGCCGTAAAAGCAACCAATAGTGTCTCTTCTACACATGACCATAGCGTCTTCACACTGTTGTCTGTGTTCTGGATGTATGCATCACTGTTCTAATGCTTCGTTTGGGAATTCATAACAGCACCCACTTCGTATGCAGCTGCAAATGTTAACCGGAATTTCGATCATAGTCCACCAAGAGGTCAGTTTCGACCAGTTTTTTTTAGTTCTTTAGAGGCCGTCTATCCAGTTTAACTTGATAGTCATTCCGAGTAAATAGTAAACTAGTGTCTGTTTCTCGTGTAGAGGTGGAGAAAATGCTTAATATTAATTATCCAGTACTAAGAAGGGACGTAGAGTAGATACGTTATGAGGTGCAGGTATTCTCTAGGTTGATTCAGTTCTTTAGGGTCAGAGAGGTGTTTAGAGCTATCGATATGCACACCCCAAACAAAACTTACGAGAAAACAAATTAATATTGATTTGGGTGAATTTCCGTTACAATAAATTTTTCATTGCTTATGAACTTTCAATACATTTTCACTATGATTTGTGTTTAGCAAAAAATACAGTTTATAAATACTAATCATCCTAATTGATGCATAAACGATTAACTTGAATGTATTATCGACAAAATTTCCATTACTAAACTGGTCTTTTTACCCTTGTTACCAGGGTAGGAAAGATGAGGCCATATGAAGTCTCGTTCAATTTATTAAAATCGTAGTTGCAGAATATTACCATAGAGCACGAATGCATCACTCCACAAATTGGAAATAGATGAATGATCCGCTAACAACTAGCTGAGCGCCGACACAGTTTCTGCAAAGGCACAGCTGAATGAATTTCTGTTGTAACGTGAGACTGCAGGGTTTGATAAGCAGCGTTTATATCGATCGCTTCTGTGACACGTAAAACACGTAGTGGACGACCTAGTGCCCCGATTGGCCCCGCTTCGTTGTCTGTCCTAGCCAGTTGAGTCAAGAACACAAGTCACAGCCTCTAAGTTATGAATCATTGTATTTCAGACATACGCTATTTATGTACTAATCAAACAAACCACATCGTACCATAAAATAGAGAACAACATTTACACAATATTTAACAAGTGAAATAAACATCGACCAATAGGAAATGTACATTTAAGGTCCAAGGCCACCATAGACTTAACATGATAATTATTGGTATATTTTTCCTCAGCATCCATAACAATTTCTATGTAACGTAAGGTGATATTTGTTAAGTTCAATACAAAGCAATTTCAATAATAGCGTATTACACTCCATGAGTTTTATTGGTGTGCAAACTGGACGCTAAAATGTTTATGTAACGTCAGTGCCATTTATTGGATGGAATATTAGTTTCTGGTGTGGCGCATATAAATCTGGTGCCCCCTTGTACCAATATTTATGTGTTCAAATAAATAAATATATATTAGTTTCTGAGTCACAAGTAAACATGAAGATATTGCTGATGATATCTGTGTACACTGAAGATTTTTGGTTTAATATACTTGAGATTGGTTCTGATAAATGTTTGATATTTCCAGCAACTTAAGACATTCTTCTAATAACTACTTCGATGTTTGTGCATTTATATTTACACCCCCAATTGTCAAGAAAGTGGTTTATTCCTATGCAAATAAAGCCTGAATAGAAATATCTCCTTTTCATTCTTGCCTACTGGCTGCTTCTGCTACCTAACGACAACACTTCAAACACCATATACCCCAAACGTTGCCACAGAAAAAAAAACAGTTTCTGAAAAGGTACCGCTGTATTTCCAAAAATCAAAAATGTGGTACGACAATCTTATTTATGTAATGATGAGAATGACCTTGAATAAATACAAGAAACAAACTGAGAGAAAAAGTAATCAATTAAGAATAACGAGACGTTATCGAAGACTTGTTTACTCATCAGAATTATAATTTATTAACCAAAGGAACAAATCTAAATAATTTGAAACCTTCTTAGAGGCTGTACGATGCGTAAAGCAAAGTGAACGGCACATAATAGTGGGTATTTGACAAATTGAAAAACGTTAATTTAATCAGTGCATTATCATTTACCTATAATTTACGTCGTCATTATTTTCAAGTGTTCTTAAACTTCCTAAATGTACGCAATATAAACCAGAGTTAGTTGGTCTACTGTTTTATCTGAACAGTATGGAATTGTAAACGAAGACTAGAACTAATGTATTTTATAAAAATGTCATAGTAAACAGTCCATAGTAGAACAAATGTTTAAAAAGCGTTTTTATCAAGTGAAAATTCCGAAAAAACTGATATGAAACAAATGTATTTGAAAACAAGTCGGAAAACAATTTCACCCCATACAATATCTACTGCAAAAGACAAGAGAATCTTACAGCTAATGTTGAACATCTTTCTAATCAGTGCTCGATTTTTCGTAATTATTACTGATTATGTTTCACATGAACAATTTATGAATAATGTTGCTTAACGTTGATTTGCTGAAGTACCAAATAGATGAAGATACCCATATTTTCGAAAACTACTTAGAGAACAGGACGAGTGCCTCAACAAAAGTATGATATACACCAAAGTTAGTGCATTGAAGACTGGCCATTATATGGGTCACATAGTGGATGAAAAGATGGTCAACTCTTAAACTTGGCTACCATTATAATACTGCCCAGAAAACTACATGAACGTACTTGGAAATAAATAAATAAATACAAACAACCGTTGGCAAATACGGATACAACAATAGGTGATCTAAATAGTTTCAAAAAGACTGAAAATCCGAGACGTAGAATGATAAAACAAAAGACAATGTAGAGGTAAAGTCATACTGCCCCCAAATGCCCTAGTACGGCCGAAAGTATGGAGGGTCCGCTTCCCCTCTCGAAATGCTCTCACATGGCCACGCGTATATAGCCTCTGCCAGGGAAGTCCTACAAATTGCCTTCTCGCACCACGGGTGTTGTTTACGAAATTGAGAAGACGAAAAGCGAATGTCCGGCGCTCTAACCGGGATGGTGTACATGGATAGTCCACCTAGGGGAGTTGAACAACCCTCATTCCAAACCAATGGTGCACATGGGCTCCAGTATCCTGAAGGAACAAGTGGCGTATGAACCAATCGTTGGTCACCGGCTACCATGGGACTGCAGCTCCTGATGATGCTCCACTGCCCTGTGGATCAGACCTTCAAGTCGAAGGCACCGGGTGTGGCCCCCTAAGAAAACCACCTGCCCGGCAGTATCACAGCCCTCACACATATCAAATGAAATTTGTGTGGCGCATATGTATATGGTGCCCCCTTGTACCAATATCTATGTGTTAAAATAAATAAATAAATAAAGAAGTCGTACCACTTGTTTGATAGAAGTGTATAGATGCCAAAACATTTTCTTCAGAAACCTACCTCCTATACATCCATATGCGATAAAAGGTGAATCAACAACCTTAACACTAATCAACAATAAGACTTATATAAATCGTGTCCTGCTTCATCTAATATTAAAGCTAAGAAATTAAAAGAAATCTCATAATTATGCTTCAAAGACCATATACAAACAAATAGGGACTAACCGCAACAACCTCATTTGTTCAAAGGGGTGTTTCACTCTCAAACTTTGATAATTTCATAAATCCACCGATAAGAATCAAGTGACCCTTTGAATTCTATATGAATTCTTCGTAATAAATGAAATGCTTCAAATACGACAAATTTTAATTTAGGAAGACGACACATAAATCTAACTAGTTGTTATAAAGTAGAAGTTTCTCAGGACTAGTAAGAGACGGCGCTTCGCTTCTACTTGGGGATACGGTAAAAACAATGGAAGAGCCTGTAAATATTAATCGATGTCATTACTAATGGGGACTTGGTTAAAATAACAAACACACACAATAATTAGTATATCCATCAGTATAACTTATAACGACTGATTATTTAGTATCAATTACATATTTCTACTTTGGCTTTCTTGTACTATCTCTACGGAATTTCAATCGTTTTCATCGACAAATGTTAGACACTATAGCTTCTAATTTATTTTGAATGGAGTCTTGCTGTATTTTTTTCATACTTTATATGAAAAAGTAACTAGAGGTCTTTCGAGAGAGTCTTAGTATAACTATTTTTTTAAGAGATATTCATCTACTAGTTAAGAACCTTGATACAGATGAGGTTTTCAGTGAGGACAAAAATTGATTAAACAAACTATCCATCGATGACATACCAAAAATACTTGTTACTACAAATACTACAGACTAAATAAAAAACTCCATACAAGCCTATTGTATATGAACACCTTGACATTTTATAGATTTAAAAATGTAAGGGAATTAAACATTCAACTGAGTAATTGCAACACTTAGAAACAATATTTTCAAATATTTTTAAAAGTTGATTAAAATAAATGAAATGTCTTCACTTACAGTTGTATCACTAAAGTGACGGCGAATTAATGACAACATAGGATCATTATCAGTAGATACATATATAGTTTTTGCTTTAATTAAACGAACACCGTACGAAATTGTATGAAGAACTAATTCTTTTGATGGGATGCACATATCTTCTGTTACTTTGTAAGGAGGAAGTTCATTAAAATCACCATGGCACTGAGCGCTTGAGAACAAGATACGTAAACCACTTTTTAAATGTGAGCAAGCATTTGACTAAAGTATACACGTAGAAAAAGTACGCATTTACTTGCTTGTTTAGCCTTCTCAGAAATGAGATATTAACAAAAACAATAAAATAAAGAATCGGCTTTTTTACATTAGTGAGCCATTATCTCCCTTTTCTATATTAAAACAGATATATACTAAACACCTAGGTGTAATGCAACTAAGAAATTGCAAACAAGTTGCTAAGGCGGTTACAAGAATAGTCAGATTTTATTAGAAAGGTTAAAACATCTTCGGGAACGATAACCGCTCGCATAGTTTCTACCAATTCAATTTTCCGCATGACCTTTACCCTCTGATTCGTTGCCGTGTTTTTTAGTTCGCTAAATTGCTACATGCTCGGTCATACCCTGCTAGTATAGTGACAACTTCGTTCGAGTTGCTTTTCCTACCACAATATCAAGTTACTATGAATACAGTGGTCTTCTGTATTCATAGTACCGGTAGTGGAGATGGTTGGAAGAAAGTTAGGGGCGGCCAAACCAAAACGTGGCATCAGTGCTTGAAGTCACTAACTTTTAGTCTGAGCCATGTTGATAGATGCAGACTACTTGGTTGCGGTCCGCATGACTATCGTAACCAATGGTTGGAGACTCATGGTGACATGGCTCAGAATCAATCACAATGGCGTCGGTGTATACACTCTCTGTCTTCCCTTAAACTAAGAGATTAAAATCGCTTTATATCTTTCTTTCTACGAACTAATTCTTTCTTCCTGTACCATATCCTTATTGCAATCTTTCCTTTATACATTATCACCTTTGAATTAACTACTTTTATGAATCCGGTGTCCATCTTGTTGTGTTAATGAGGTATGGCAACTTGGACCGATGCATATATGTGCCTGGTCCTACGTTGTAGCTGACTGACCGAGTGATATCAAGTTACTCGCAATTCCATCTTCCTCCTGTCTTAGCTGTCGAGATTTGATGTGTTAAGTATAACTGACTGTTGTCATTTCCCAAGAGAACTGATCGTATTAGAGAAGCTCAATCGTTTTCGTTCCTAAATCCGTAACATCGTAGGCCGTACTGAACACAAGTGTACTGTGTTTTAACTTATATTGGCTATTCAAAAGCCAATAATAATTCTTCCCATGCATCAACAGACAGATGAAAATCTAAACACATGACCTGGTTGTTCACCAGACAATCTTACCGCTACCCTAGCAATTAATACAGAGAAAATAATTGAATCACTCAAAAAAAGCATACACTAAGATAAAAAGGATTATTACTATTGGGTACAAGTATTAAGCATAATTTTTACTCTCAATTCCTCGAGTAAACAATAAAACTTATAAATCAAAATACGACTCACAAAATCCTCTCCATTACGTAAATGAACTCCAACTACAGGTTTATTTAACCATCGATTTATAAAATTCTCGGTGACTAGATTAATATGACTATTCCATTCTAAATAACGATGGAATTGACGGTTTTCAGGACGAACAGGGAAAGACGAAGGCGGTCCAATGAATGCAAGAACTGGGTAAGTTTCTGAAGGAAATCTATATTTTAGAAACATTTATGATATGCATTAGAAAACTTACAACTGATCCCACTTCTCTTTAGGATCATCTGTACTTAGAGGAAAATAGAAACTAGAACCTGTGAAACTGACATTAAATTTATCCCAAAATTCTTTGAAAGGATTCCCGTTTTTAGCATTACAATCATTAAATAAAGGACCCGATCTAGGTCGAAAGCATAACGCTTTTAAATGCAAAATAGCTTGAAAAAGGTACCTGTACGTTTAGCTGCTGGCCAGATGACAGGAGCTTCATTCAACATAAAACTTTCCAGTGAAACAAACTGATGAACTGGTAGAAGTGTAGTGATGTTGAATAAGTTTCCAAAAGGCACAAAATTCTGAAGAATATTAAAATAACTGTAAAAACTTACAGCCTGTAAAGATGACATAATGTTCCATGGAGGCAAAACAAGAGTACGGTTTAGTTTAATTGCAAATGCAATCATACCTAGGAACTGTTCTATCTGGTTTCCAAGCCGACCTATTAAAATACAAGCGACCATTACACCAAACATACCCATGCATGGACAGTAGGTTATATAAGCAACACTACATTGTATCACATATTGACGAACAATCATGGTCCAACAAAGAATAAATTTTATGTCGTCGATTCTCATTCTCTAAAAATGTTAAATAAACCATCGTCAAATAATACAACTCAGAACTAATTGGAATAAATTACACTTAGATAATAAAGTGAAGTTAACAAAAGTACTTTACAATTTTTCCTTACGGATATCTAATCGATCCAAAAGGTTTACGAATAAGTACTTGAGAAAGTATTCACGCCTAATAGTTACTTCAATACAATACAACTTAACAAATAGAAAGGACTTGACAAGTGAAAATTTAATTAAAGAGCACATTATCAATCCAAGGTTCATTTAAAGAGTAGATTACAATCAAAAGCTTATTAATATTTTACCATATACATTAGATATATTGCTCGCTTAAGATGATAAAACACCATGCTACGGCAAGTTTCTTCAGTATTAATTAAAATCAGGTATCAAAATCTTGGAAATTGGAACACATATACTCTCTCAATGATACTTGAAAATGGATATAACTTAGGATTGAAAACAACAAAGACTTTGAGGGAGTTTCCTGGTCAATATAGTAACTAATTAATAAACCACTACACTAATAACATAATGAACTGTTTGTAGGTGTCATTACCAAGGTTTGATTTGATAATTTCGAATAAATTGAGCATTGGGTTGATTGTTATAAATAAAAATAATATATTTGTAATATCCCAATGAGTAGAAAATTGGATTTTTCTGACGTTTCGTGGCTTAGTGTAAGTCACTTCTTCAGAGAATAAATAACCAAATTAAATTAATCCAAGTTTAAATAGTACAACGGAACAATGCAAGAATAATATTTGATCAATCAAAAACAGGTCTGAACAAGTTGATGTATGTCATTTCTGTCAAGCTGATTCATAAGTGATAAGTATGTAAATTTGTGTATGTATGTGTGTGTGCATTGTTTAAGAATGAAAACTGTGTGACCTATATGGTAAGAAAGGATAGAGTTTAAATTTGTAATATGATAGTGTGAAATTGTAAATACGATCAGACTGAATAGTTAGGATAGATGGTCCAAGTAGGATGTATGGTAAGGCCTTCTTTTCTATTGAGAGAAGTAGGATTAAGCATTATGTGGAACGCCTCAGCTACCCTCCTTTCTTTGTAGTTGGAAAAGCCTTTTTGCAATATTTTGATATTTTTAAAATCGATTTGGTGGTTGTTGAAAATGGCATGAACTGCTATTGCCGATTTAATTTGAAGTTGGTTCAATTCTACAGGATTGTTAGGAGGTTTCTTTGTGTACCTAATATGTTCTTTGGCTCTAGTCAAGATTTCGCGGGATGACTCTCCAATATAATAGGCATCACAATCGATACAACCTAATTTGTAGACGCAGTTCTGTGTGGACATGAAAGGGATTTTTTCTTTCAGGCGAACTAAAGTATTACGTAGTGTGTTCGTTGTTTTGTGATACACTTTAATTCTGTGATGTTTTAAGATTCTTTGAATTTCTTCTGTTGTGCCATGACGGTATGGTAGGACTACAGTGCCAATCCAAGGCATTTCATTCGAATCATTATTATAATGTAATAAACTGTGTTGTTTTAATATGCTTCTAATAATCTTCATAGGAAAATTATTAAATTGTAAGATGCTAATTATATTCATTTGTTCTTTTTGTTTGTCTTCCTCTGATGTGATGATCTTGTTAGCTCTTCTAAAAAGATTTAAGGCTAGCGAGATCTTAGCACTGAAAGGATGTGCTGAATGGAAGTCAATATAACGATTTGAATGCGTCGGCTTTCGGTAGATGGATAGGTTTAGACTTCCATTTGGATTTCTTTTTACCAAGCAATCCAAGAATGGTAGTTTACCATGTACATTTTCATTTTCATTCGTGAATTTGATGTGCGATGAAAGTGTATTAATTCGTTTTGAAAAAGATCTTAGATGAGTCTTTTTTATAACAACAAATGTGTCGTCTACATATCTAAGCCAAATTCGTGGTATAATGTTGTGGGCGAAGATATTTGATTCTATCTATGCCATAAAAAGGTTGGCTACAATCGGGGACACGGGGGATCCCATCGCTACACCGTTAGTTTGTTTGAACAACATACCGTTAAAAGTAAATAGCGTTGAATTTAAGCAAAGTTTTAAGGATTTCATGATTAGACTGATGCTTAACGGACATCTGTCAGGAAGAGTATTGTCGTTCTCAAGTAAACCACTAATGAATTCTAAGCATTTATCAATGGGAACACTTGTGTATAAAGAAACGACATCAAAGCTTACCATGATTTCATTCTTCTCGATGATTAATCCGGATAATTTTGATTTAAAGTCATATGCACTATCGAAATTGAGATTAGATGGTGGTTGGAGGTAGATAGAATCAAATATCTTCGCCCACAACATTATACCACGAATTTGGCTTAGATATGTAGACGACACATTTGTTGTTATAAAAAAGACTCATCTAAGATCTTTTTCAAAACGAATTAATACACTTTCATCGCACATCAAATTCACGAATGAAAATGAAAATGTACATGGTAAACTACCATTCTTGGATTGCTTGGTAAAAAGAAATCCAAATGGAAGTCTAAACCTATCCATCTACCGAAAGCCGACGCATTCAAATCGTTATATTGACTTCCATTCAGCACATCCTTTCAGTGCTAAGATCTCGCTAGCCTTAAATCTTTTTAGAAGAGCTAACAAGATCATCACATCAGAGGAAGACAAACAAAAAGAACAAATGAATATAATTAGCATCTTACAATTTAATAATTTTCCTATGAAGATTATTAGAAGCATATTAAAACAACACAGTTTATTACATTATAATAATGATTCGAATGAAATGCCTTGGATTGGCACTGTAGTCCTACCATACCGTCATGGCACAACAGAAGAAATTCAAAGAATCTTAAAACATCACAGAATTAAAGTGTATCACAAAACAACGAACACACTACGTAATACTTTAGTTCGCCTGAAAGAAAAAATCCCTTTCATGTCCACACAGAACTGCGTCTACAAATTAGGTTGTATCGATTGTGATGCCTATTATATTGGAGAGTCATCCCGCGAAATCTTGACTAGAGCCAAAGAACATATTAGGTACACAAAGAAACCTCCTAACAATCCTGTAGAATTGAACCAACTTCAAATTAAATCGGCAATAGCAGTTCATGCCATTTTCAACAACCACCAAATCGATTTTAAAAATATCAAAATATTGCAAAAAGGCTTTTCCAACTACAAAGAAAGGAGGGTAGCTGAGGCGTTCCACATAATGCTTAATCCTACTTCTCTCAATAGAAAAGAAGGCCTTACCATACATCCTACTTGGACCATCTATCCTAACTATTCAGTCTGATCGTATTTACAATTTCACACTATCATATTACAAATTTAAACTCTATCCTTTCTTACCATATAGGTCACACAGTTTTCATTCTTAAACAATGCACACACACATACATACACAAATTTACATACTTATCACTTATGAATCAGCTTGACAGAAATGACATACATCAACTTGTTCAGACCTGTTTTTGATTGATCAAATATTATTCTTGCATTGTTCCGTTGTACTATTTAAACTTGGATTAATTTAATTTGGTTATTTATTCTCTGAAGAAGTGACTTACACTAAGCCACGAAACGTCAGAAAAATCCAATTTTCTACTCATTGGGATATTACAAATATATTATTTTTATTTATAATGAACTGTTTGTTTGTCTGACTTGATACTAGCTATAATTGTATTTATCTTCCAGTTTAGATGTATTTTAAACTACCCGAGACCATCATAGGTCAAAGCTTTTTACAAAGAGATGAAAATGTTCAAATTCAGAACCCGAAAAATAGCCTAAATAAAAGTGTAATATCTTAATTGTTCAGTAATATGCTGACTGACTGAATATGCTAATTAACCAGTTAGTTGATTTCGTATGCATGCAAAAGAAATGACCTTTTCTTAACATTGGTGAATTTGTAACAAAATTTAGTACTTCCGATTTACGCTTATCTTGCACATATGTGAGCAACAGCTCTGCTGTAGTTGTGATTTAGTCTCTACAAGAATACTGTAAGTATCCCGTATTGTCCAATTTACCAGAATATATATATATATATATATATATATATATATATATATATATATATATATATATATATATATATATATATAAACCTCACTCAACCAACCTCAGTCCATTAGTCAGCATAGTGGCTGACCAACCTATAAGATTTAATTTTAGCAAGTTTTTAAACAGTGTGAAACGTTTGAATTTATCACCCTAACCAAATAAACTTGATGGAAACTAGAGATAAAGACATCTCCCCTGTCATTTTAGACCAACCTATTTGACAACTTACATACAAATTTAAACGTTGTAAAGAACTTGAAACTTCGGGTGCTAGAAAAGTATGGGATTTACAACCCTGCTGTTCAACATAAAATATAATTATTTATTTGGACACATGAATATTGGTACAAGAGAGCGCCAATATATATGCGCCACACAAAACAATGAAAATTCGAGAGGAATACAAAGAAAGAAAAAAAGCTAAGGAGCGCAACAAAAAAAAGAGAGAACAATAACGAAGAGATTGGTGTAAGGTAATGTGCTAGTAATCAGGGAACGCAAAGGTACAATCGGAAGAAATCTTTCAGGTAAGGGAGACAGAACCACTTTTTATGAAGAAAGTAAAAGAAGGTTACAGCAGGATCACCACTAGCTTATATTCTGAGCCATATCTGATAACGTCTCTAGCCACTGTGTAGCACCATCTCTCAGACCCCAACCAGGGAGTCGTGAAGGACCAACACAAGCCAGTCCTTTGCAGCTTTCTTTCATGCCACGACACCATGTCATGCACTGACCACCTCTCTGCTTCTTCCAACCAGTCCCAGAGTCGGCAAATAACATAAAATATAAATTCACAGTGAAACACTGGTTCGTAAAAAGGGTTACAATTACACCGATAGTATGGAGCTACAATACTCACTGAATGAAAAGAGTAACCATGGATTATATATTAAAAGTCACTGTTTAATCCCAAA